CCTGGCAGAAACAAATAGTTCTACGCAGAGGACCACCACAAGTATGAGGAGGTTTAACCAATTCATAGAGGCCTTTGAATTAAAAGAAATTCCACTGTCACAGAGGTGCTATACTTGGTCCAATCTCCAAACCAATCCAATTTTCTCTAAGTTGGACAAATTCCTATTTACAAACGACCTAGAAGAACATTGGGGGAATCTGAACTCTAGAGCACTCCCAAGGGTGACTTCTGACCATTGGCCTATTGTACTTTGTAAGTAGGAGGTATGTAGTGCGGGCCCAACTCCATTTAGATTTGAGAACATGTGGTTAGAGCATCCAGGGTTCATTAGGAAGGTTGAAGAGTGGTGGGTAAAGAGCAATCCAACAGGGGTGTGGTATGGAATGAAGTTTCATAAGAAGCTCCAGTATTTGAAAGGGAGAATCAAGGAATGGAATCTACTAGAATTTGGGAGATTGGAGGAAAGGAAACAGAATGCGATCACACAAATTGCGGACCTGGACAATAAAGAAGGGAGGGAAGGCCTAACTAAAGAGGACAAGGAACATAGGTGGAGCTTGAGGAAACAGTTAGAAGATTATATGCTTCAGGAGGAAATAAGTTGGAGGCAGAAGTCAAGATGCAAGTGGTTAACAGAGGAGGACAGGAACACTAAATTCTTTCATGCCTTGGCTTGTGGCAGAAGGAGGAAGAATTCTATTACTAGATTGGAAATTGAAGGGAACAACATCACAAGMCARAGAGAAATAGCGGRAGCATTTGCAGATCATTTTAGGAGCATATATAGAAGGCCACTGAATAATAGGGTATGGTTGGAGGACTTGGATTGGCCAACATTGAAGATAGAAGAGAGGGACTGGTTGGAGAAGAAATTTGAGTTGGAAGAAATAAAAGAGGCGGTATTTTCGATGGATAGATCAAAGGTCAGATGGTTTTACGATGACTTTCTATCAGGATTGCTGGGAGATCTTAAAGGAGGACATACTGTTGGTATTTGATGAATTCCATACCAGAGGAGTGATTAACCCGGGACTAAACTCCACATTCATTGCTTTAGTTCCCAAGAAAAGTGAGGCAAGCCACCCAAAGGACTACAGGCCGATCAGTCTAGTTAACAGCCTTTATAAGATCATTACGAAGGTGTTGTCAATTAGAATAAAAAAGGTGCTACCATCTATCATCTCGAACAATCAAGGAGCTTTTGTGAGGGGGAGACAAATAACAGATCAGATACTGGTAGCAAATGAGAGTTTAGAGGATTACAAGAAATCCGGGAGAAGAGGAGTGGTCTGCAAACTAGATCTAGAAAAGGCTTATGATATGGTTGATTGGTCCTTTCTATTGGAGGTGATGATGAATTTTGGGTTTTGAGATATCTGGTGCAATTGGGTGATGGGATGCATTAAGGATTGTCACTATTCTATCTTGGTGAACGGGACAGTGATGGACTATTTCCCAGCTTTGAGGGGGATCAGACAAGGAGATCCTCTATCCCTCTTTTTGTTCACATTGGTAGCTGAAGTGCTAGGGGGTTTGATATCTAAAGCAGACTCTAGGGAGCTTAAGAGGGTGGAGAGTTGGAAGGGATAATGTACCACTTACACATCTACAATTTGCAGATGATACGATTCTATTTTGCAAAGGTGGGGATGTCAATTGGATTAAAAATTTGGAACTCTCTATACAACTCGTTGAACAGATGTCAAATCTTAGGGTGAATTTTGAAAAAAGTTGTATAGTTGGAGTCAATATGGGGGAAGGGGAGATGGGGGAGTTTGCAGATATTTTGGGATGTGCAATGTCTAATTGGCCGTTAAACTACTTGGGCCTACCTTTGGGAGATAATCCTCAGAGAGATGATTTCTTGGCCCTGTTGTGGAGAGATTTGAAAAGAGACTGGCCAACTGGAAAAGAAATTATTTGCCCCTTGGAGGGAGAATCACCCTAATTAGGTCTACGTTGGCTAACTTTCCTGTATATTTTCTGTCAGTTTTTAGGATACCGGTGAAGGTGGCTAATAGGTTGGAAAAGCTAATGAGGGATTTTCTGTGGGARCTGGGGGAGGAGAAGAGGGACCATAGGGTCAAATGGGAGGTGGTTTGTAGAGCTAAAGAGGAGGGAGGGTTGGGTATTGATAATATTAGGACTAGGAACCTGGCACTACTAGGAAAATGGTTATGGAGATTCTCACTGGAGAAAGATAGGTTGTGGGTTAAGGTGGTGGGAAGTATACATGGACTGGCAGATGATGGTTGAGGTTTAGGAATTCTAGCAAGGGCCACAAGAGCTTCCCCTTGGAGAGCCATTCAAGCCATTTTGCCTTTATTCTCTCCATGGATCAGGTATGACTTGCATTCTGGTACCCTTATCAAATTTTGGGAACAAGTCTGGGTTGGGGACTTCCCTCTGAAAGATCACTTTCCATGTCTTTTTGCTTTGTCCTCCCTCAAGAATGAACCAATTTCTTCCTTTATTGCTCCTTCTAATTCACCCTCTGGGTTTTGTTGGAACCTAAGCTTGAGAAGAGGTGTTAGGTACACAGAGATTGCCTATACCATAGCCTTACTTTCTATCCTTGAAGGGGTCTTTATTGATCCATCTAAAGCAGATTTCAGAATCTGGACACTCACTCCCTCGGGCTCTAATACTTGTGCCTCCTTTTTCAAAGCACTATTACCGTCTCATCCCACTGGCTTTTCTTTTCCTGTTAAAGAAGTGTGGTGTCGACCTATACCTCCTAAGGTTGGGAGTTTTTGTTGGGAAGCCTTCCTGGGAAGAGTTAATATAGGGGATCTACTCCAAAGGAAAAGACCCAACAGCTGTTTATCCCCTCATTGGTGTGTTCTCTGTAAGGCTGACGGTGAGTCCGGATATCACTTGCTAATTTCTTGTCGGTTTGTTAAAGCTATTTGGGTATGGCTACTTCTTTGTTTGGATGCAGGTGGACCCCCCCCCCCCCCCTTGAGTGTTCAAAGCTTGTTTTCTTCCATGCGTAATTGACCAACTAAAAGGGCTAAAATCATGTGGAGTGGTGGTAGAGCTGCAGTATGTTGGACAGTGTGGGAGGAGAGGAACTCAAGGATCTTCTCAAGTAAGAGAGAGGTATGGAAGAAATTATAGAGAGCATTCACATTAGAATGACACAATGGTTGAGAACACTGGAGCTGTTCAAAGTGTTTTCAGTTGATGAGTTGTTAAGGAATTGGAAGGAGATTGCAGATTCAGGCCTATGTAGAAAGTTATTAAAAGCTTGCTGGAGTCCTCCACCTATTGGATTCAYCAAACTGAATTTTGATGGTAGCAGCATAGGCAACCCAGGGCCTTCAGGAATTGGAGGTGTGATAAGGGATGGAACAGGGAACGTGTTAGCCATGTACTCTGGGCCGATTGGGGTGGTAGATTCATTGAGGGCTGAGATTCTTGGAGCTATTAAAGGGATTCGAAGGGTCAAGGAAATGAAGATCAAAAAGGTGGTTATAGAAGGTGATTCTGCAATGGTGGTGAAATGGCTAACAGAGGACAGTGCTTTGATGTGGAAATACAAATGGTTAACCAGGGACATGGAAATTCAATGTAATTGGATAAAGAGAAGTGCAAATGCATTGGCTGATGGTCTAGCTAGGCAAGGGGTAAATAGAGACACATTATTGTGGGCTGTTTTGTAATCACTACAAGATCAGAAAGTTCTTGGGTAACTGGAGTTAAAACCTTTTAGCTCCATCCCGTTGTAATCTTGTTTTTATCATTAATAAAATTTCACTGTTACTGATCAAAATAATAATAATAATAAACATGAATGAGGAAAAAAAGGAAACAGAAGAGCTTGTTCACTAATTTTAGCTGTGTTTGTGACCAGGGTAATGCATCAGATTAATAAAAGTTTGATTACATAGGTTTACGTCATGGGAAGGTTCATATTTGTGTACTGGCTCGTTTTAGATGATCCTTGAGTGTAATCCATGGGACCTTGATTTCATGATTTGTGCCATTTTCTCAAAATTGTGACACCAAATGTAGTGCTCGTTTGGGAGGGCTTTCACACAGTTGCTTCTGGTATTGCAAGGTAGGCCCCACACAAATCTAGCAAGCTGTGTTTGGTGAAAACCCTGGAAAGCTGAAAAAGGCTGTCATTGAGCAAGGTGCCAACCAGCTGGTTGGTAAGGTCTCCTGCTGGTCGTAGCGGAGACTTGGGGTCGAGTCTCACCTGCACCTGGGTTGGGGAATGGGCTACTCCCCATTGTGTAGCCCTTCAAAAGATACCAAAGAAGCTTTCATTGAGTTGAGAACTCGACTTTCTGGTGAAGCTAGTTTTGATAACTTCTCCAAAGCCGCTCAGTAATGCAGCTCAATCAACACAGAAGCCCTTCCAAATGGGCTTGTAATGCAGCACTGAGCATCTATGACATGGTCAACTGGCACTCATCATGGCAGATACACTCTTCTTTTTCACCATTTCGCATAACCAACACTCACAGTTTCAATGATAATTAAAAAAAGAATCTTTTCTCATAATCATTTCTGAAAGTAAGAAAGAGTAGGTGTAAATACCTGATATTATTGATGATAAGTTGATAATCATGGCCATCTGTGATGCTTGAATATCTCTGTTGAATAAATTCCATCATTCTCTCTTCACCCATATTGTTTTTTTACTTCTTTTGCCTTTTTATTTTTGCTGGAAATCTTCATTCTCATTGTTGTAATACTTGTGATGAGCACCATCACTTTGTCAGCATATGGAGTCATTAGATTTTCCCCACTAATCTAATGCACATCAGTGCCTTGTCTTGGTGATATGAAGACTTATTTAATATTGTCTCTTAGCTCATTTCCTTTACTTGTATCAATTGTATTTAGGACACTTCTATCTACTTCCCCAGTCTCAACTTCATCATTATCGTCTGTGACTTCTCTATTTTTATAAAAGAAGTAATCCGGTTGGTTCTTTGGCTTCTTAATATGCTTCATTATTTACAAATATGCATGTTGCATCTGTAGCTTACCTTTTTATGAGGACAAAAAAGAAAGATACAGGTGCAGAGGATGTTGAAGCTGTAGTAAATGTTCCCTCTGCTCCAGTTGCAAGTACAACTACCTCAACTCCGGAAATACCACCACCTGCACCATCCATCATAGAGCCCCTGAAGGTACGCCAACCCATTCCTGAGGATCAGCAGCGTGAGCTATTCAAGTGGATATTGGAAGAGAAAAGAAAAGTCAAGCCCAAGAATCCTGGAGACAAGAAAAGCATTGATGAAGAGAAGGCCATTCTCAAACAGTTTATTCGAGCAAAATCCATCCCAACCATCTAGTGAGAAACCTCTTTCTGGTGGCAATATAGAGATTTTCAAATTTGGATTATCTGTCTGGTGTTTGTTCCGATGGGAATGTGGAATTGTGGATTTCTTATTTTTGTGGGATACAAAATATTTATCTATTTTTCCAATGGGTTTCCCTTTTGATCAAATGTTCTGCTTCTTATACTGCTGAGGAGCCTAGGAAGCGGTGTGGAGCAATCATATTGATATGACATTAGAGTGACCTTTCAGGCGGACTAAATTTGTTCAGGTCCTTAAGGATTGTCTACGCCTTGCAGGCTTGCACTAGTTTTTGTTTGGAATTTGCTGTATTTCACTGATGTGTAGACATGAATCAGATGAGATGATTTAGATTCTGGCAGTGGCTTTGATTTGCATTTCTGTTCCCAAGCTGGGTTGGAGTGTTGCAGTGGGTTGTCAGCTGTTGTTTCCTTTTTCCTTCATGGTTGACTTAAGATAGATCAGATGGTCTTTTATCTTTTAACTCACCATTTTGACCAACGATTCAGTCGATGGTAATCAATTTATGGGCATTTGCAGACCACATGGATTGATGCCATTTTAGTTGATGGGGTTTGCTTTTTCTATAGCAATTAGCAAATGAACTCATAAATTCATCATCAAAGATGAAACAACTGCATTTATAATTGACTTCACTTTACTAAAATCTTATAAAATGGCTCCATTTCAGTCTTTATAAACATTCTTGAAATGGATTCGATGGGAGCCGTGAGCTGAAAACGAAATTATTGTATTTATTTATTTATTTTGGTAAGCCGACACAAGACGGGGTAACACGTCCCCACAGATCACTGAAACTAATAAAATTCAATTCTCTTGGAACTCCCCCAGCAAAGGTTCTTTATCGGGTAAACGCATTACGAGCAAGCCAGACAACCGCTTGAAGGAATGACGGAAACAGACTCCAGCAGAGAGTAAAGAGAGCTGACATGACACTCTTTGATTAGATTGTTCAATCTCCATGGCGGTGCAAGACTTACTGAGGCAGTCGATGACAATCTTCGAATCTCCCTTTAATCTAAATTGGGTGGTCCCTGAAGTTGATGGCGGCATTTATTCGTCCGTGGTGTCTGGAGGTTAACTCTTTGAAAATTTGAAACTGTCGTCTCATGGACCGAAACTACTCAAAGAGCTAAAGCCCAATATAAAAAATAATAATAATAACAATAACTTAAAATGCTTAAGTGACCAACCATTCAACTTCATTTCAGCTTCTGCGCCAAGATGAAAGGAGATTGTACTGGAAATAACTTATAGCAATGTTTGTGCCTTCAAAATTAGTTTAGCTTAGGTTATGTTTGGTTTGAAGGGAAAAAAAAGTAGGGAAAAGAAGAGTTTAGCTTAGGTTATGTTTGGTTTGAAGAAAAAAACAAAAAAGTGGAGAAATGAAGGGTAGGAAAACTATTACTGGCTAGGCCTGTCTAAAAGTTTTTCATGAGTCATGGCACATTCTTTTTTTATTCTTTTTTTTTTCGTTTTTTTTCTTTAACATGGGAGCCTAGCCTGTTACACCAACCGCAGAAAATTACAATCTATCACATCTAAAAAAATAAGGGAGAAGTACCAATCAGCCCAAATCAGAATTTATTAGGCTCAAAGTACAGGGGAATGTATCCTGACCGTGAATTGATGCCAAATTCACGGGCAGGATGTGGTTTATAGGGGTGAGAGGGCTAGTTGTAAGGGGAGCTGGAATTCAGAATTCTGCATCGTATGTATCCGTACTTTTCCCTAATAGTCTTAAGTCCTTGTGAAAGAACTCTTTCGCCTGCCACTTCTCTTCTTTCTCTACTACAAGAAACTAGCTCTTTTTACATTTTTCAACTGATATGGCTTCTGTTAATGCTAGCTCACCAACGACAAGATCCTGGTCAAACAAAGATTGAGATTGAAGATGATCATAATACATCTGTAACCAAGGCACAGAAAACAAAATAAACAGAACAAGTGTCAAGAATAGGAGGCAATTCCACTTTCCAAAGGAAGCCTCTTGGAGGTAACTTCACAACAAAGCCAACGGTGCATAATAAATAGGTGACATATTTGGGTTGGATGGGTATCTGTCATCTCATAACACTGGCAGTGAGAGACTTGGAGTAGTTAGAATCAAAAATTAGTCAGGCTGCACAAACAAAGATGAAGAAAGGATGCCTTCACAGGGTTTCAGTGTACCATCTGGAATTCAGGAAGAATGTCTGATGGACATGTAGCTACTGTTAATATTCATGTAGTTTGTACATGGACCAAGAAGGTTCTACTGATCCCTGCTTTTCATTCGAATCCCCCCCTGGTAATAAGGCTTGTCTGAATCTTATAGCAATCTGTTTCTGATCATAAGTGGAAGATGAGTCTATCCAAAATTGATGGTCTGAATAAGGTTTGCATGCACTCATCCCTCATTGATTAGTTTTGTTAGTTAAATTATCATGATTGTTAGTAGACCATCTTCTTGTTTCTCAGTGTGGCCGACTGAAATCTTCTTTTGCTTTAATTTTTTGTTTTTCTCTTCAAGTGATCATCTGAAATCATTCGAGAAGGAATGAAACTCCATTAAAAGCATACAATATTAAACAGTTATTTTCAAGAAAATGGTGATCCAAGACAAAATTGAGAAAAGGAAACTTTATAAGAATGCTTTAGAATCCATTCAACTTACTACCTAAAATTTGGCATTTGGCTAAATAGTCAAAGATAATTTAGCACAGTTCTACTATATATCTCATGCTGGTACCATATGCCCAATCCTGTGTTTTAACTACTTGGTTGAATCAACTGATGTACCATCCTTGGATATTGACATGAAGCATCCAATGGTTTTCTTCTAATTTAGTTCTGAGGGTGAGACTGGTTAAATTTATTTTCTTCAGATCTGTCAAGGGATCTATAATTATAGATATCAAAATTTCCACTAGATAAATTTGTGTGTGTGTATAAATCATTACACCAAGTAATGCCCCCTAATTCATAGACATATATGGGTGCATAAATCACTTTCATTGCATTAATTGTTCAAGCTGTGTTGAAACAGGATTTTTCTATAAGCCAATTTATGGAATTTGTTTGCCAGTTGGCAAGGATTTCATGGTTTCTATTTTATATTAGAAGTATGATAACATCAAGTTACATTTCAAGCCTGTGGATAATAGGTTTCAGACTGAAGGGTGGTACTTATTATGTGTAAAATGAAGAGTTATTTTCTTAAAAGCTTCTAATCAGAGAACAAAATATAAAATCAGTAAACTTTGAACTATTAAAGGATAAGCATTGGCTTAACTTAACACGTGTTAAGTTTTGGGAACCATGGAAGAATTTACAGCAATTCCTAATTAATTGAATTTTTTTAGCACTTCATCGAGATAAAAGTAGAAATCTTGTATAGGTTTCTTTACCTTTCCCTTCCTTTCCTTGTCTTTTCCTTCAAACCAAACATAGCCTTAGTTAAATGCTCCATAAATGCATATAACAGCGGGGCCTTCTAATGGATCCAATTCATATGAGGTAATCAAATACAGCAGAGCCATACTTTGTCCAACATATACAGTGAGGATACTGAGGAATGAGGATGATCCTTCTCATAAATTAATATTTGTTAAGAGCCTGAGTATGTTGTATTAAGCCGCTCAACCATCCAGTTTGACCATTCAGTTTTCTCAAATAAAAAAACAAAATTTAAAAACGAAAAAATAATTCCAAATCATCTTTTAAAGCTATTTATATACAAAAAAAAAAGCTTAAAACAATAAATGTTACAAGTTGCGATAGGTATTGACACACCTATTTCATTCCTAAAAGCTGGTCAGCAAAACCATTTTGGCTATTGGTTTCCAGCTCTGATGGTCCAATTAATCCAAGTCTGACAAACTGAATTCATCTATCTGTCTTTTGGTAATTAAGCTTGATGCTAAAGTCACAAAATACAAAAATGATGGATTCAAATGTCTAGAAACCCCACCATAGGTACAGCATGAGAGAGAGAGAGAGAGAGAGACTTTGAGTTGTGATTACTGTCTCGTTTAACCTTTTTCTGTTATCCTGGGTAGATAAAATTGTGAGTGCAATGCAAGTATTATCATCCTGAGAAAAACAGACCAGATATGGAGTTATCATCCTTCCCTTGGAAGATACCTCTACAGTCTTCTAGCATATTTTCTCCGCTTTTCAAACTCTTTCTTTTTCAAATTGTGATGTCAAGCTCAGATCTCACCATTGCAGCAGAATGATACAGAGTCCTGGTTCAAAGTTTTCCTTCAGTTTCTATGTAAATAATAATTTTGATATCAAAAGGTGGCAATTGATCATACAACCTGATCCAAAAATAAGAGCACACGCTGTTAATCATAGAGATCCAACAACAACCCATGTGCATGACTGAGAAATCCTTTGATATAGAACAAAATTAGGTCCCCAAACCTAACAGCTTTAGTTCTTATTATAATTGTAAACAAATTATAATCCCTCTCAAGTTTATCCATTCATGTGATGTGAGAAATGAGAATTCGATCATCAGCTTAATTACTTCTCTCCACAAGGGCCATTACCCAATGTAGCTCCTGGCTATCCGGGCTTGGGAAGGTTAGATTGGATATCTCACCTAACTTTTGTCATTTTTCGCACAAAGTGGCCGCTCTGACTCAAAACTACAGTCTCAGGTTTGTCATCCCAAAATTTTTACCATTGCACCAAGCTTTAGTCTCTCCATTGAAGTCTGCAACGAAACTGATTTTACCTTAAACAGTGATTCATTTATTTCATTAAAAAAAAAAAGAATAAGAAAACCCAATATCTCAACTACTAACTTAAATCCCACCGATGATAATAATCAATCTAAAGTATAGCCAATTGAATTTAAATATATATATATATATACATAAACTCATCATGTAGTGAATGATTTCATGATTATTGAGAATAGACTGTGATACCCCACACATGCAACTTGTACAGAACTGTTCTACTTCTGATATAACTATAATATTATTATGCTTTGCCCGTTAGACTCAGTTTGGAAGGAGTGCAAATACAAATATATACTGTGCAAATACATACAAAATAATACAGAATACAAGGTTTTACACTCTACAAATTTGTATTTGTACTCCTTCCAAACTGATCATTAATGAATAGAATAGATTGTATATATGTGGTAGCTAGAACTGTAGGAGATGACCAGGACTTAGATAACGATAAGCACCATTATGTTGTAAACTGTTAGAAGAAGCAGAAGAACCACCAAAGTAGCAACAGCATGTATATATTTTTCCTCCCTAGCTTTCTCCTTACTCTTTTGCTCTGTTAGCATAATCCATTCTTTGAGCTGTACCTGTATGGATAGGTAAAGCGTCCCATCTATGAACATAATTCTTTTTGTTTATTATGTCGAATATCTGGAGAAGCGGAAAAACAATGAAATGCAGTGAGTTAGCATGGGCGTTTTCTTATATTCGTCTTCTTTGCCCCAACAGTCTCACTCTTGTCTGATTGCCACTGTCGAAATTCAATGCCTGAACATGTTCTCTCCAACTTGTGGATTCACGTGTGCATCATTTGAGCAATAGCAATGCACATTTTCCAACAGGGTGTATTAGTGTATAATTCTGATCTCTTTTCTTCCTTCCGTAGTCAAAGAGGCTTGAATCGAGATCCCCTGAGCCTTCTTGCTGCAAGGAGAGAAGAGAGGGTGGTGCCGCCAAAGGGGTATGCACTAATAATGCAGAATATATATATATATATATATATATAATAAATACATATTGCAACTATTCAAAGCTGCAGATATAATATATACTTCCAAACAGAGAAAAATAAGGATTATTGCAGACTGCAGAGACACTGATAATAAGCCATCCACAATTAAATATTGAAGTCATGTTACTGCATGTTGTATCCTCAGGAAGTATCAAAAAGATATCTAAGATATTCTCTACCATTTGGGAGCAAAAAGATTTGATAGAATTAACAGCAATAACAGCACACAGAGACACAATGAGAGAGAGAGAGAGAATCTTATGGATTACAAAAAATCTTAAGTTGGGTGGCTTTGGACAAAGAGGAAAAGGAATGGAAGTTGGGATTGCAAAAAGAATTGAGTGCAAATAAGAAAAGGGTTTCTTGTATGATTTAAATAACTGATGTCAAACAGTCAAACAAAGAATCTGGGATATGGAAACTTTAAGTTAATTTGCTTAAATAATTGGAGGAGGATTTGTTTTAATAAAGGCAGCCACATGCATCACATATAAAATGAGAAAGGATGGGGATGAAAGTAACCATGAGGGCTAGGGGATTGGCTCAATGTGTTTGGATTGGGTGATGATTTTAGTAGGTAGATAAATAGACTGAGACACAGAGAGAGAGAGAAGGATGGTGGAAAGCATGTTGGATTCATTGAGTCTCACATGTTTGCACGAGGCCACCAGCGGCACCGCCAGGGACGTTCAAAGCCAGTGCCACCAGACAATTATGGAGGGTGGGGGCGTCTCACTTCTTTTAGAAACAAATGATACATTCCTAGCTCCTTTCTCAGCTACTTCAATTCTTATCCTTCTTAATGTTTGTTAATAATTAACAAATGTAATTGAAAAAGTATTCCTGATGGGCTTGTTCGTTTGCATCCGGCGACCCACCGAGAACCGAGCCTGGAATGTGCAACACATACACATATCCCCAAATGCACCACCACCGAGGCTGGGTCCTGGGTCCGCCCCAGCATAGACTTAAATGGGTATGGATCGACCCATTTATCCGTTTGGTCGGGATTGAGGCTTGACATGACCTCAGAGGCTCAGACTTGGCCCTCCCATGACATGATTATCTCTCTCTGGTCCAGCCACGGGTAAAATCCGACCTGGGAGTTGACACCAACGCCTGGCTGCATTAGACAAAGCTAGCTTATTTTTTGGTGAACGAGTTGACTTTGGCTCCTTTTATAAAAAGAGGAAACTAATGGTGGATGTGAAGGCCACCTCATTGAAAAGTAGGAAACAAGGAGGCGTGGCCATTGTCATCACCGTGAATAGGATCGTTTCCTCTTTTAAAAGGAGCAAAAGCTTTTTATTGGTGAACCCCCCCAACCACCAAGAATCCAAAATTAATTAACTCGCTCTCGCTGTGATTTGCTCCACCGGACCTACTAATTAAGTTCTAAAACCTCTCTCTCTCTCACGCAGTCACGCGTGCACATACACGCGAGAGAGAGAGGGAGGGTTCAATATTCCATCATGATGACCGTCATTTCTCTCCGTCATCTTCATGATTAATGGTATTTAAAGAGAGGAAGGACGGGAGAGGATGATGAGTTACAGCAAATTATCCAGAATGGACATGTCCTTGATTATTAGTGTGGTAGCAATCCTGTTGTCCTCCATCATTCTGTGCAGGAGTTGGAGGAGGAGAATCAGGTCATCAACACACAGAGGCGGCCAACTTCCTCTGGGAAGTCTAGGATGGCCCCTTGTCGGCGAAACCTTGGAGTTCATTTCCTGCGCTCTCTCAGACCACCCTGAGAGCTTCATGGACAAGCGCCGACGCATGTAAGTATAAGCTTAATTACCTTCTTCATCCAATTAACTTCACTACTTCCAATCTGCTGGCAATAGCATTACCCACTTGCCCAGATGATGATCATCTCTCCCAAACTCACCTGTAGGCTGCACCACTGTCCCAACTCCCAATACTTCAAGTCCATGTTCAGCTACCTCACGGTTTTAGCTTGATGTGGTGCTTGATCATTTCATGCATGCAAATCCAACTTCATTTAGAAATCCAGTTTAATTAGTTGGTGAAGGAATTAACCTTTTCAGACTGTAGCAACTTCATGATTTCATTACTGAGCAATTTTGTGAGAATTCAGATCATACCCAGATTAATGGCAACTGATTTAGGTTATATTAAAATATAGACTAATAGTTGGCATCAAAAAATCTGTATTATCTTCATCCTTCAACCACCTGTAGCTAGAAATGTTAAAGATAGCTAGCTACTAGCCCACCTATTCCTTCATTATTTTGTGTAAATGGTTGAAAGTTACAACTTACCAGTAGAATAGAATCGGATGTTACCGATAATTATTTAATTAGTAATATAATTACTGTGGTGATTGATATAAATATTAGAGTCGAGTTCATGTCATGGATAGATGAATGAACTAACAAGATTCTGGGAGTTGTTTAGGTATGGGAAGGTGTTCAAATCACACATTCTTGGTAGTCGAACCATCATATCGACGGACGCCGAGGTTAGCAAATTTATTCTGCAGAGTGATGCCAAGGTCTTCGTGCCTTCTTATCCGGGATCGCTCACCGAGCTGATGGGAAAGTCATCCATTCTTCAAATCAACGGAAGCCTGCATAGAAGAATCCATGGATTGATCGGAGCCTTCTTAAAATCTTCACACCTCAAGGACCAGATCACCCAAGACATGCAAAAGTACGTGCAACAGTCAATGGGAAGATGGAAAGATGATAAGCTCATCTACATCCAAGATGAAACCAAAAATGTCAGCTCTCTCTCTCTCTCTCATAGTAATGTTTTGGGTTTGATAGAATGAGATTAATTTAGAAGATATTATTAGAACCCCATATTGGATGCATAATTATTTTGCTTTAATTTACACTGTCAACCCATGCTGGTTTCATGATTATATGTTGTTGAGCTTTAGAGCCCATCATGATATATAGTTGCTAAAAGCGCGTTTCCAATTGTTTTCATTCAGATTGGGTTTCAAATCCTGGTCAAAGTATTGATTAGTTTGGATCCTGGTAAAGAAATGGAGTATCTAAGGCAACAGTTTCAAGAATTTATTGCGGGTCTAATTTCTTTACCCATTAACTTACCTGGGAGCAGACTCCACAGGTCATTGCAGGCAAGTGCATAGTGCATACTCTCTCTCTCTCTCTCTCTCTCTCTCTCTCTCTGCATCTTTATATATTTCTAGGATGATGAAGAGAAAACATCTTCAACAGTCATCACTTAATTGCTTTCAGGCAAAGAAAAGAATGGTGAAGTTGGTGCAAGAAATCATTCAGGATAAAAGGAAGGAGGGGAGCCCAACCGTTCCAAGAGACGTGATTGACGTCTTGCTAGGTGACACAAACGATCAACTGACGGATGAGCTAATATCTGATAACATGATTGACTTGATGATACCAGGAGAGGACTCTGTGCCTGTCCTCATAACTCTTGCAATAAAGTATCTCAGTGATTCTCCTTTGGCTCTCCAACAATTGACGGTATGAAAGCAAAACCCGTTATTTTATTTTATTTTATTTTATTTCATTTTTTTAATTATGATGACTAACATAACAGCAGCTAACAGTAGCAGAGATGTCATTATTGCGGCATCCTAAGCAATTACTGTTTGGGTCATTAGACGAATACTGTGTAGTATAACAAACAATGGCAATAGTAACTACGATTGAGCCATATTTAGTAGAAATTTCAGTGGGTCTTTGGTGAATGCATGTCAGGAAGAGAACATGAAGCTGAAAACACTAAAAGCTCAAGCGGGGGAACCTCTGTGCTGGAGTGACTACATGTCTTTGTCATTTACTCAAAATGTAAGTTGGAGATTTGATGAAAAGCTCTTTGCGAAATAAAGGAAGATTCATGACCTGCTGATGACAGTGCATATATACTGTACTTGAACAGGTGATAACAGAGACTCTGAGGATGGGAAACATTATCGTAGGAGTGATGCGTAAGGCCATGAAAGATGTGGAGGTGAAAGGATATCTAATTCCCAAAGGATGGTGTGTGTTTACATATTTCAGATCAGTTCATCTTGATGAACATCTTTATGACTGGCCTTACCAATTCAATCCATGGCGATGGCAGGTGAGATGGGCCCTCCCCTTTTTGTGCTCTCTTTGGTTTCTTCTACTTTCGTAGTCTAGTCGATCGTTTTCTGCTTGGCTTTTGGTCACTGCAGCACGGCAGTAGTCAAAACTCATTTGGTCTGTGGACATACAGGACAAAGACCCGAGTACTTGTAACTTCACTCCTTTTGGAGGTGGCCAACGACTTTGTCCGGGGCTTGACCTTGCCAGGCTGGAAGCTTCCATTTTCCTCCACCACTTCGTTACTCAATTCAGGTATAACAACATCAGCTCTCTCTCTCTCTCTCTCTCTATGACCGTTGATTGGTATGACCAAAGACCCAAAAAAGTGATTGAATTCTGTGACTTTATAAATATGACATAATCTAATAGCAGCTTCAACCACTGCCCCCTCACATCCCCGAGTGCTGTGTGTAGGCAAAGGTGACAGTGGTTTCACCGTATTGAGCCCACTAAATTAATAACTCATACTCATTTCATATCTATTGGGGGCATAAATCCTCGTCCCTGATTAAGAGGGTGTTTGGTTTCGTTTATGTTTATTCGATAAACGTTTATCCGTATAGGTGTTATTTTAGAATTTTCTCTCTCTTGTTCTTTTATTTATACATTGAAAATGTAAAAAGTAAACTTTTTTTATGTGCATGTCAGTCTTTTGTTCATTGTTACGTTGAAGTGGCGCCTAATCGTCATAAACAATTGCAATTATTGCATTTCTCTATTTTACTAATAAATAAAGTACAAAAGGTTATTCAATAGACATAAAGGAACCAAACACATATACTAAAAGGGTGTTTGATTCTGTTTATGTTTATTCAGTAATGTTTTATATTTGTGTGACTGCAAAACCGATAAATACATTTAATGAAAACATTTATGACACATAAACGCCATTAGACACCACATCATCAATCTATTTAAGAAAGCTTCGTTTTGAAACTTCTTAAAACGGAAGAGATGCACCGAAATCAAAGTTTACTACACAAATGCAATTAATGAGACTGGGGGCGCCTATATGGCACCATAAACAAACGTTTACTCAATAAAAATAAACGAACCAAACATATACTAATTAGGAAGGGCTGTCACAAACGCTGGATTAATTGTCAGGTTCCTGCAAATCTTAGTTGAAAAGGGCCAAGCAAGGGACTATAGCATTTATTGTATTTCATTCCTATATCCATTGCTGGGTATAAATATAATCCCTCTCTGAGTGTTTACACCCATGAGATGCCTTTTGGTACATTGCATGATGTTGATTCGCATTCATTAGCAGTGATTGAGCCCATGATTTTACAGCTTTGAATGAATCGATGGTCTAACTCTTGATGTTGATGATGATATAGCTATCAATAATATACCCAACTCATCACTACATCTACATGAGACGGAAACATTCACATTGACTGATTGGCACAAACCTTTGAACTATTGAGCAATGGGCCAAACATGATGCGTGGACCCTTCATCCCATGATGATGACGACCCACTAATTGGATAGTGTAGTAGTATCTTATCTACGGATCCAAAGATGGATGGATGACATGATGGGCCACCCACATGTACTCCACGCACGTTTGATTATATCCAGAACTGAGTTACCCAGTTAGCAACCTGACTTAATTTTTCTTGCACTGCAGGTGGGTGGCCGAGGGTGACTCAGTTGTCAATTTTCCGACGGTAAGAATGAAGAGGGGAATGCCTATTTGGGTCAAAAGGAGAAGCAACCTTCAGTCTCCGACTTCAGAGAAAGTGGCAGGGCAACAGAACCAAATGAATGACAAGTAAGAGAGATGGCTCAGTCCACACGTGTGGTGGCACTGACAGATCAGCTCTTGTCTTTATGTCTTTAACTGTAACGTCATATATATACAGACAATATAAGTACATGCATATGTATAGTAGGGGGACCCAACCATCTCTTCATCTTTCACCCATTCATCTCCTGTCTGTACGTTTGCAATAAAGGTGATCCCAGAGTTGCCGTGGTAGGTGACACACTGGTTGGTATACGTCAATGATATTTCTTCAAGGGTCCCACCAACAGCTAAAGCCTAAAGGGATCAGGAAAAGTTACAAATTGTGTGCAAAAAACCCCAAATAAATATACAAATACTTCGCCCAACTTTTTATCATAATTACCACTAAATAATAGTCGTTTGGGGGCGCTTATGGGATAAATAAGTGCTTATCTTACAAGTGTTTGGTGAAAAAATGCTTCTTTCAAATAGGGGGTAGGATTAAGTGTTTTGAAAATTATGTGGTGGGTTAAAAAAACTTTGAATTTATTCAAAATGGGCTTATTTCTTGAAAAAATATTTATTGGGTTTTATTTCCCACATACATATAAGTGCTTATTGATGTGGCCCTGGCCTAGGCCTAAAATAAGCATTTTTTTTTATAAATGTTTAAAAATAAACACTCCCAAACAGGGAGCTAGGGATCCCAGTTGATATTTTATTTTTTACCTCTTAAATCCTTTTGTGGGTAATTCACATAAAAAACCCTTTTTAAGCTAAAGACAGTTCATGTAAGTGCTTATTAGTGTGGTCCTGGCCTAGGCCTAAAATAAGTGCTTTTTCTAATAAATGCTTAAAAAAAAGCACTCCCAAACGGGAGCTAGGGATCCCAGCTGATATTTTATTTCTTAACTCTTAAATCCTTTGTCAGTAATTCACATAAATTTTGAATTTAAAACCTCTTTTTTAAGCTAAGACAGTTCATACAAAAAGAAATAAATAAGCTAGGACAGTTCAAATATGATTTAAACAAACCTGTCAAGAGCAGATGAAATTAATTTTTCAAGAAGAAAAATATCAAAATGTAGGCCTTTTTTATGAGAAACCATTGGTTCCCCTCATTAATTTTTAATAAAAAGAAGATAAACGGTTTAGCTTTATTCTTCGGAATGGCTTAATAGTGTGGTATTGATAGTTTGATTCTCCTTTTTCTTGCATTGATTGTTCCAGCTAGCTAGCTAGCTTAAGTTGATAAAGTCACAATGAGTCAAGTGTCCGACCATGAACCAGCGATGAAATCCCACCTTCATCATTCTAACCACGTGGCAACAAGGAAAGTAGTAGTAGTAAAATATATGAAAAGGCACATAAACAGATAAACTCTAAAGGGCAATGCTAACTATACGGCTTTCCCCAAATCTGTATTCAAGTACGGCGCCATGGGCACCGTGGATATGTAGTCGGTAGTCACTTTTTGTAGGGCCCAATGCCAACCAAATACGGCTTTGACCAACCCCTACGGCCTAAGCTAGCTTACCTCTCAAGTCCAAAGTGCCCTTTCAGGGGAGCCTGTCCCACTTGAGCTGTTTGGCCTATTTAGAGCTAAGTTGGACCTACTAACCTAAATAGGTGGGTCCATGCGAGGCCCATCACAACCCAAGTTAAAGCTTGAGCCGGCGAGCCCATTACAGTTGGCGAAGCAGAGCAGATGGTGGCTTAAATTAACTAATTAAGCTTAGGGAGCCATTTTGATAGTTGTGATGGGAGAGGGATGGTAAAAGCAAGTGAAGTGATAGAAAATAATGAGTAAATTAGTGATGGAATTAATGGTATAAGAAGAAAATCAAAGCAATGGTGAAGTTCGATTTTGGCTAATGACAGATTCCATGTGTGGAAATACCCATACATCGCTTGGATGGCCTAGATCCATTGATTTATTTCTTAACACCACTTTTGGTGGATTGGAAAATTGGCTTAATTTGATATATCATATTAATGGCTTGGATTAATTGAAATTGTAGTACATCATTTATATCACTATGGCATATTATTTGGAAGGTTTTGATTAGTTGAAAATATTGGTATACCAATTAGATAGTTGGATTTAATTCACTGATCTTTAGGAGGCCATTTTAATGGTTTAGATCCTTGGTTCATTTGGCACGCCACTTTGGATTATATAGATGAAATGAAATCCTAGTGCATCATTTGGATGTCTGGAATAAATTGACTAGTCTAAGGAGGCCATTTTGATTTTGATGGCCTATATCTTAAGTTTCGACTGAAACAGCAATGCCTATGTCCATGCGTGTGTCTGTGATTAGACTTGTTCACGGGCTTGGCCCATGAACATTTCACACTGCTTTGACTTTAGGCTTTGCGCTTTGGGCCGGGCTCATTCAAAGGCCATGAATAGGTCTATGCGTGACAGAGATCTTCTGCATTATCCAATAGCCATCTGCTAATTCCTGCAACATCTTCGTCAAAATGTTAGACTTTTATCATGCAATTAACAACAAACCCAATCCCTGGTTTTTGGATTGGGATCGTGTTGGTCCAACTTAAAGTTGTACCCAGTGGTACCAGCTAGCTTGCTGGTAACTGGTAAGGTTAGCCTTGTGATTAGGGGTGATCGTTTAATATTCTTTCTATATTAAATATAATGACTTAGGCCAGGGCCTATGCTATATATCCCTTATCAATCGATGGTAACTGGTAAGCTTGGCCCAGCCCAGCCCATGATCACCCCGTACTTGAGATTGAATCCCACTTTCAAGGTATAAGGGGTGTTTGGGGAAGGATGATTTTGAGCCAAAGACAGAAGTTTAATGACAAGGTGCCAACTGGTTAGCTGGTAAGGTCTCTGGTTGGTTATAGCAGAAATTTGGAATCAAACCCCGCCTTCATCAAGATTGAGGGTTATGAGTTTGGGGTTGGGCTACCTTCAATGTGATGCTCCATAGAGGAAAAAAAAAAAAAAACTAATGAGAAAGAAAAATAAAGTGTGGAATAAATTCATTCATTTAAAGGTTATTCTTTTCTTCTTTTTTTTTTGGGGGGGGGGATCCATTTAAAGGTTATGAAGCGGTAGTTTTTGTAATTTGTATCTTGTTCCAAAAAAAAAAAGTTTAAAGTTGCATAATAAAAATTAAAAACAAAAAAGACAAATTTCTTAAACTACTTTTATAGTTTAGTTTATTGATTAATTCTACCTTTACTGTTTATGTATTGTCTTAAAGTATCCCTACTATTTCCGATAATTGACATTATCATTAAGTGCTATTTCTTAAATTTGCCCTTCACTATTCCTTAAATTTTCAAAATAAAACCCAACTGATGAAAATTTTACCCTCCCATCTTCCTTTCCATTTTCTTTCTGGATGTAGAGCCAATGTTAATACTTCTTTCCCTGATTATCTGAGTGCAATGTCTCCCATCTCTGAAACGCACCATCCTTTGTCGCCATTGATTATTGGCATGGAAGTCAACGATAATCCCTTGTTGTTGCCTTTGTCAAAGATCGACAAAACCATAATGTTTTCAAGAATCTATACCTGGAACCTCCATTTTATGTGGCTATCATCTTTAGTTTTTTGTGATGCATCGGAAATAGTCAATCAACTCAATGCACAGAATGCGGCTTTCCCCAGCTGGTCCTATAACGGATATTTTGCTTCAATTAAGAAACTAGCTGAAAGTTTCCAGTATTGTAGATTTTCATATATATCAGGTACTTTTAACATAGCCCATACAGTGGCTTATATGACATGCATAAATGATGAACTCTATGCTTTTCATGATCTCCCCCACCTCTATGGATGAGAAATTTTTTTTTTTTTGTGCTCATCTAGAGGAGGTTGCAAGCTTTAAGACTCATTCAATTGATGAACTTGAAACAAATCAGATTCAGATATATGTACCTATTTGCATTCCACTCTGAGATCCCACCATCGTTGCTGAATGCTTATGCTGTGTTTATTTCTTTATCAGCTCTTTGAGTTCACTGGTCTCTCTGGATTTTGGGTCCATAACCATTATGTGGTTTTTTATAACCCCCCATCCAGAGGTGACCAGGATTCTAACAATTCTTATCACATTAAACTAATCTCAATTCAGTCATACCACACTTAAAATCCCACTCCAAATAGAAGTCCATCTCTGTAGATTCATACGTATCAAGTGTCAATCCAATAAATAAATATATTTTTTTTAAATTGACAAATACTAACAAAGGTGACACTCAATGTATGTAATGTATATACATACTAAATTAAAAAAACAATTAACATTGTAAAAAAACCTTCAGTTTGTTCGAGATTATGGTAAGGCATTGAGGCATTCTCGTACCCTTCTTACTTTCAACTTTTTTACTCCATTTCACTACTTCGTGGGATAATCTGCATAGGAGTTCATCGTTGGGGCATCGTTGCACAACATCCTGATTTGCAGCTATAAACTTCGGGCGTAGCATCTCCTCTGCACAAAATACAGAGCATAGACTTGGTTCGTGGTCGTGCCTGCAGTGACATTGTAGAAGCTGGTGATCAAACCTTTTGAGGGAAGACTGGAGAGGAGGAGATTGAGATTGTACTGGAACGCACTCTTCTGTGTGCAGTTACCCCTACATCTATACAAAAGTGGTAGACATGTTTCCGGAACCAGAGAGACATGTGTGTAAAATTCGTTGGTGGTCATTTCCGCCTGAAATTGAAAAAAGTACAGCTTTTGGAATGAGAAACAAGATACGTAGAAGATGATGAACAAAGGCCCTACCACAATAAATAAAGATGGAAGGGAAGAGGGGAGAAAGGAAAAGATAGAGATAGTGAGAGGACAGAAAGGAATGGGAAGGAGAAGGGGATCTTGTTACCGCTGTTCTGTTAAGGTTGAGGACGATGAATAATTCACATGAAGGGTATTTTAGAAATAAAAAAAAAATTATGAGTCATGGAAAATTAACAATAAGAGAAATTTTAGATAATTGTTAAAAACAGTAAAGGAAGGTGAGTTATTCAATTAACTAAATCATAAGGATAGTTTTTAAAAATTTGTAAAGAAAAATATTAAAACAACGCCCTTAAAGGTAATTATCAATATAACCAAGCCCATCATGATATTTTCCAAAAGTCTAAGATTTTTTTACTTTTTTGGATAAATTATATTTTATCACTATGTATCTAGGGATAGTGACAATTAACCCCATGAATGTTCATTTGCAACAAAGATATCTGAATTTTAAATTTCAGCACTTTGCCTCTTCCGTTAAGTTCGATTAGTTAACAAGATTCTCATCCTCATCTAAACATTTCTAAATCTCCAAACTATCCGTTCCTTGTAAATAATCATTTTGTCCTTTCTTATACAACAAAAAGCCATTGACATCAATAGAGGAAATGATCATGTAAAACGTGACGATGCAGAGGATGGATACAAAGAGAAAATGATGAATACCATGGATCCAATGCTAAAAGAAGGAGATACCATTGAAGTCATTGGGGGTTTATAGCAATAGGGTTGCTTGGAGGAATTGCAACAAAATCAAGGTCTGTGTTTTTGTTCTGTTTGGTTTGGTTTGTAGTTGGAACCGGAATGGGAATTGGAATCAAAATGATTCATTCCCGTAGTCTGTTTGGTTTGGACAGGAATGAGAGTGGGAATTAAAATTAGCAGGAATGAAATTTCACTCCCAAGGAAGGGGCAAAGAATGCCTATTCTCTCAAACAGGGAAATGCCATTCCAATAAGAATGAGAATAAGATTCCGCTTCTACCCAACCAAACAGTTGGAATCGAAATAACCCATTATAATTCCAATTCTAGATGCCTATTTTCAATAACCAAACGGGGCCTCAACCTCCAATGAAAAAGTTGCAAAGGAGATAGAATATATTATGAGTATGTCATAGCCAAGGTTTCGTAAGCCAGTAAGATCTCCTGCTCTTTGGTATAGGGTTGGAGGGAAGAGGAAGGAGAGAGAAGAGAAGAATTAGGATCTCCTGCTCACAATAATTCTACTCATGTCTACTCATTTTTAATAAAAAACCCATTTTTAGCTCCTCAAAAACCAAAATTTGAAAAAAAAAATAAAAAATATATTTCCATGTGTTTCTAAGTATCGATACGTCTCTGCCAATACGTTGACAGAGGCACATCGATAATTTGAACCATGATTATACTAGAATGGTACATTGGGAACATCTTTCCATGAATAGTAATATGCAAACACGTGAGTTGGAGATCTGATTTCAGAAGAGAAGATAGAGAACCCCCACTGTTACATCCGTGTTCATTCCTTGAATACAATGAACAGTACATTTTTTTATAAAGTTTAGGGTATTTTAGTAAATTTAACTTTCCATCAACCCCATTAACAGAACCGGGGGGGGGGGGGCAAAGTGATGGAATCTGAAAAATTAGGGAGGCTGGCTTTATCTCAAATGAAAGTTCGGGGGAAAATTCTTACTACTCCCAAAGTACTGGGCAGTAATCTGTAATTTACCATTTTTTCTTCCATTCAATTCCTCCTCCGCCCTCCGTATCCCGAAACCATTTGTTTCATCCTCCGCGGCTTGGGAATTGTAACCCTAGCCTACACTTTAGATCTCCATTAAACGACGAAGCGTGTTCTTCCACCTCCCCTTGCTTATCTGCGTTGAGATTCAGTTCAAAGAGGGAAAGAAGCTCCACTTTCATCCAAGGTGAGCATCGTTTTCGGTTTTCCTTTCCACTGAAAGAAAAAAAAAAAGGTTTAGGGTTCGTTTAGAGGCAATCTCTGTTTCATTTTTTTTTTTTTTCTTCTGTAGGCAAAAGGTTAGGGCTTTTATTGCATATGCAAATTCCAAGCCTATAATATTTCTCTATAAATTAGGTCTCCTCTCTGTTCGTTTATTAGCAGTTATTTGTGACATCTTTTGCCTTCCAAACTCCAATCATTGGCCTGCTATGTTTCTCTTATTAGATTGCATAATTTGATTAAGCTTCATTTCTTCGTTAATAACTTTATATATACAAGTTCTGAAAGCGTGTTTGTCAATGAGTTTTTTCGTTTGAACGTTCATATTTAATTTCAGTTGCTTTGGTACTTCGATCTGAAATTTTTTATGGTGATGAATGCGATTTCTGAATGATTCGAGAGATTCTCAATTGCAGGTTACAACTGACAAGTGAACAAATTAATTTTGGTGGTTCTACTGTTATTTAGGGTTTTCTCGGTGGCGGTGAACATAGAACAATTTGTACTATATTCGGAGAAGTATTTATTTTGGAATGATGTGGGGTGTAAGAGAAGAAAGAAGCATAAAGGCATGTAACAAGGATGGATCCCATGAGGCATTAGAGCCGTGTTTGGTCTGATAGACAATAAGAGAGAAACCGAATGTTCATAAGTAATTTTTTGAAATTCCTTTAGAACTTTACTTCAACTTTCTGTTTCTTGGTGAAACACAGCGTAAGGGCCATGGTATCTTCATTCTTGGTTCTTGGTGGACACAAATGAATTCACATGGATCTCCTATGCTACGATGATTTGAGAAGAAACCTTTCAGAGATACTCAAATCCTCCTCTAGCAAACCCCTAAGGAAAGTGAACTAGGTCAAAGAGAAAACTTGTTGAGGAGTGTGACAAGACTGAGCATCAACAGAAGGCTTACAACAGAAAGAAAAGGGCTTCGTTTCTGGAGGTGGTAGGGATTGAGGTTGAAGGAGAGGGAGTGGTAGCCCAGGAAGAAGCGGGAGAGAATAGAAGGGAGAGAGAAGAGATGGAGGAAGGGATCCCAAAGAGAAGATAATCCAGGAGAAGGAAGAAGTAATAAGGGGAGGGTGAATATTAAACACTTAGTGAATAGACAAGTGGAGGTGGGAAAACCATTGGGGTTAAGTTTTTGTTTTTTTGGGTGGGGAAGGGTGGTGAGGAAAGCAATCGAACAATTTGAAATGAAAAGAAGGGAAGAATCTAATAAGAAGAGAGTTATTGGGAAAGAGGGGAGGTGTGGGGGGAAGGGGAAGGGTAAGTAGGAATTGTTGATGAAGAATAAAAGGTATTAACCAGAAAAAGGAAAAAGAAAAAAAGTTTTAGGGGAAGGGGTGAGGAGGGGGAGAATGGGCAAAGGAGGGAAGAGGATTTGGTGGGTGAAGAGCGGAGGGGCTGTTTGTAGAAAGAAGAGAAGTGTGGTGGAGGTTGAAATTGGATATGAGGTTGCTACCAGGGAGTTTTAGGGTCTGAAAGATGGAAGAAGAAATGTTAAGGCGTGAGGTAGGAAATTTCAATCTGGTAGAAGAAAACTAGAAGACAGGTTGAAGACTTGGATTGGAAATGGGTCAGTTTGGTGGCAGCTGTTGGTAATTTTGTTGCAGGTGGGGTCTGGGTGATGCCCAAATTGTGCAAGTCAAGAAAGAAATCCTGGGGAATAGTTCTATGGAGGTGATGAAACCTCCAAATCGTAATTTGGTCAATTTGAGCTGTTTGCTTTTGTTTTTTGCTGTTGTTAATTTGATTTGATTAACAACAGGTCGGGCTGTTAATCGTATGGGGTCTGGGTGGCAGCTGTTAATTTGATTTGTTATAGCATGCTCACAGGTTGGGCTGGGCTTTTCCTCTTTATAAACAGTAAATGACCAGGCCCAAGCCTGGCCCAACCACTGGACCTAGATCTTGAGCCCAAGCTCGGCCTTGCATAAAGCCCAAAGACTGAGTCCAAGCCTGAAGCTCGATCTAGACAAATATTTTATATTATATATTATTAATAATATATTATATATTTTATAATGCTCTATATATTATAACATATAAACCTTTTTCACTACTAGAAAATTTCTTAAAGTACCCCTAAGTTTTCTGACAATTGTCTAAAACCTCCCCTGCCGTTAACTTTTCGTCACACTCATCACATGCGATATCACGTGATTAATATATTTATCAAAAATTCCTAAGACACCCTTCTACTTCTGTTTGGATGATTATCTTCCATGTATATCAGAGAGCAATAAAGCTCTCAGAGCACATGCATTCTGTTTGTTAGCTCTCAAAGCGGATATGTTCAGACCCAGTGATTTAAAAGGTGCGCCTTTTGAAAATTTGGCGCTTTTTTGCTTTTTTTTGAACATAACGGCCAATTTGGTAATGTTGTTCATTCATTCATCCCAATAAAGTGTCTTCTTAAAAAGCAATTAAAACCATAAAATCATTATTTTTTGTGTGAAAACCAAGAATTTAAGACCTAACGTGGACTTGTTTGGGCTTGCCTCGAGGGGCGTGGCACAAAGCGGGCTCGTAGAATCAGAAACGTAATATGTTTTACATTACATTAGCTATGTGAAGTACTGCAATTGAGTGAAAAAAGAAATTAAAGGTTTTACATGCTTGAAAATGTTTTATATGTTTGATTTTATTTTTAAATTCTCGTAGAATCAGGAATGTAATATGTTTTACGTTACATTAGCTATGCGAAGTACTGCAATTGAGTGAAAAAAGAAATTAGAGGTTTTACATGCTTGAAAATGTTTTATATGTTTGATTTTATTTTTAAATTCTCATTTGAATGTGCTTTATATCTTATGTTTATGTATTTTAATTTTAGATTATAGGTTTTTTAAAACATTATTTTAAAATTTTAGTTTATATTTTTTATTAACATTATGTTTAATATTTTTTTATTTTTTTGGACTTTTTTGAATTTTCTGACATTTTTCTTTGATTTTTTAGCTTTTTTTTTGCGCCTTGCATCAAAAAGGCGTGCGCCTCAGGCACAAATTGACCCCTGCGCCTTTTTTGCGCCTTGCGCTTTTAAAACACTGTTCAGACCTATGCCAAATGAAGCATACCAGCAATTGGAGCCTTGGCCTTTCCGGCATAGAAAATAACAGATGTGAGCTGTTCATGGGATTTGGCTATGAAGATCAGACTACTTTCGTTTTTGAGTAGGAAACCCTACCCTTTCGTTTTAGGGTGTGCCCGTCTCTATGTGAAGAAAATGATGTGGGAAGAGTGGGAATATCAGGCAGGGGATGAAGAAGAAGGAGGAAGTGGAACATGACGGTCCTGTTGATTTTGATTTCCGTAATTCCTTTTTTGTTAGAGAAGGATGGAGTGCCACACAACCCCAACGGATCCATGAGAATCTGGTGGATTTCCAAGTTCCATGGAGGTTCAATTTCCCATTCAAGCAACCCAGAACTTTGAGTCTTCTGTAACTCAAATCAACTGTTGTGAGCAATATTTCCTACCTGTCTCCATAAACCCATAAGCTCAAAGTGCCTTCCCCTGTCCAGCAGTATTTTGGTAAGAGATATTTAGCCATTTTCCTGCTCCCACCACCAACCAGTCCATCTTCACAATTCCAATTGGTCTTATTAAATTTCCTAAGCACCCAACCAAAATAATCATCAAACAAATGTCTGAAGAACAACGAAACTCACTTTAAATATTCAATTAAACAGTGCATAAACCCTAAGACGTTATTCTTCTTCTTTGTGGTAAATGTTTCATCAGAAGTATAACAGAAGGAAATAGGAAACAACTGAATTAATGGCAGAGACCATAGTCTGATGATTTAGAAGAAAGGGATGCTGCATGCCAGCTATGGTGGCTGGAGAAATTTTTTTAGCAGTTGGGTTTTATTTTGAAAATTTGAGAAACAGTGGAGGGCAAATTTGACATTTTATTTTTTCGTTACGATTTAACAATGGTGACATTTATCAGAAATAGTAGGGGTACTTTAAGACAATACTGAAACGGTAAGGGTATAGTTAGTCAATTTCCTAAACCTTAGGGGTAGTTTAAGAAATTTGCCCATTTTATTATTGTATAACATATATTATATATTATTAATATGTAATATTATCGGGCTTTGCTTGGGCCTTGGGCTCGGACTGGGCTTATTTGAGAAAGCCCAATCCTGAGCCCGTGGGCTTAAAACTTTGTCAGAACCCGATCTAGAACAGGCCGGGCCGGGCTACCCAGCCCATGAACATGTCTAATTTCAAACATCCTAGTAACTCAATTGGTTGGAGATGGTGTTGTGATATTAAACAGAAAGATTGTAGCATTGCACATTCAATTCCTTCAATAAACTAAACTGTTTGAGCTCTAAATTTCATAGGTGCAACGTATGATCTGTTGAATTTCCTATTCAACATAAAATCTGAGGTTAATCCATCAAGCATGACAACAAGCTAGATGAGGTGCAGTGAGGTTCAGGTGAAATCACTGAAATGAGCCTTCCCTGTGAGCCTAATGCCTAAGCACACCTGAGGCATGCCTTTTAAATCACCAAGGCTGATAGGAGTAGATTCTATGGGGCCTTCAACCCACTGGGATGCTGATTTTATTGAGTCAGCACTCAGAAGTGCATAGGAGCTCAAATTGCAAACCAGTTTTATCTCTCTCCTTTAGTTATCGAAGGGGATTCAGTTAATGTGATATGGTAGTGCAAAAGTGTGGGGTGGGGCCCTTGTTTCATGCTCACTACGTCAAGGAAATCAAGGAGATTTGGCCAGTATAACCATTCAGATTAGTTGTATACTGAAGACTTAAAATCAAACTGCAGGACTTGGTAAATGTAGGATAGACAGGGCTTTCTTCTAGAGTGCCTGATCCTTTTCAGTTTTCACACTTAAAACACATGGTTTTTCTACTGTCAATACAGTGGCCTTTTCTCAAAGAAGGAAAAAAGGAATCAAGGAAAGGTCATTGAATTTGTGAAACTGGTTAGAAAGTTCAGGGAATGACCAAATAACTAAGCTTTAAATATTTGGTAATTAAAGTTTCACAGCAAGACTCCATGAACTTCTGTTCAATCAATAAATTATGAACATTTTCTTCCAAACAATCTAATAAAAAAGGTTTTTCCCGAAATAAATGCTCTATGGTTCTCTATTGTTGTTGTCCCTTTGTTTTATTGAAATCTGTTACCTTTTTCTGAAAAAAATAATAATAACCACAACCCCAATGTTGAGTCTTCTCCTTTCCTTTTTCTGTAATAAATTACAGGTTACAATGTACTCCCCTGGAAACTAGCCTGCAATATATTTGATTCCTACTAATTCCTTGCCTGGCTAGAGCATCTGCCAAGCAGTTTGTTCACTTGGAAGATCTTTTGATCCAGAAAAAGAAAGATCTTCTAACTTTGGAGATTTTTTGGTAAAATTTTTTCTTATTCCTCTATATTCTCTCTGATATTAGTGCATCTTAGGAGTCAGGTTCTCAAAGTCTGCTGGTTTTGGAGGTCTACTTATATTTTTTCATATCTTTGCCCTTATGGGCTTGCTGTCTACATTTAAGTCTGTAGGCTTTATACCGTGTGCTTCTTTGTCACAGTCACTCATGCAAGATATATTAGATTTCAGGTTGCCTTTGAGGAGTCCAAACCTTGAATTGTACTTATTAAGTGTTTGGAATCGTTTTTCCTCTACTCTCTTTTCCATGACTAAAGAGTTTTGATTGTTAAAATAAGTATTCCTTTTTATGCAAATCAAATAGGAGTGGAACACCTCCTAATTGAAGGAGATTCTAAGGTGGTTGTGAGCTGGTTAACAGACCTGAGCTTGGAAAATTTGGTGCTACAAGGATTTCCTAAAGAAGGCAAGCTGGCTAACAAGCAACATGAATGTTAGTTCACGTTGGGTGAGAAGGTCAGCAAATGCTATGGCTGATGGTCGTGCTATACAGGGGGTCTTGAGGGAACATCTGTACTGGGCAACCTTGTAATGTTTTGATTATAGTGTACTGTGGTTCCTTACACTTATACTTTCAAGAGAGGTCGCACCTTGTGCCTCTCTTTGGGGTGCTGTAACTTTTCTTACATATTGGTAATGAAATAACTTTTCAATTATAAAAGAAAAAGCCTATGTTGTACCCTATAAAAGATAAATGGTTTAGCGGATTTTAGCTATTGGAATATTTTTTCCTTTTATAGGTTTGGCCAATTGTTCCAAATATTTCAGATTGTATAAGCATTTCAGGACCCAATGATTGAGATTGAGAGTCATTCTCCTTTGTAAGTTAACTTTTTAATGAGGACTCTGTAAGTCCTTTAAATTTGAATTTTGCAAAACAAACTGCATTGTTTTTTTTTTTTTTTTAATTTTAACCTCTAAAATAGTTTGAAACATAACAAGAGAACCAGAAATACTCTTCAGCTGCTCTACTATTGCTAAATTTAGATGACATCCCATGCTCTTACTTTGTTTTATTAACAAGTTCTTGATTCTTTCTTCAATTTCTTTCAGTTACTGTCTTGCAAAACTGTCTGTGGACTACAATAGAATTATTTATACCTTATATTAAGTGCTCCCTCCAACTTCTCACTTCCTTGTATAGGGTAAGTTATACTTTGTAATGGCGGGGAGAAATCGCATGCCTCGCAATGCTTTCAGTGATGGTCGACGTGGTTATCCCCCTGAAGGCCCATATGTTCGGGGCCCTGTTGCTCGGCCACCTCATCCCTCTCTGTTGGAGGAAGAACTTGAAATTCAGCATGTTGAAATTCGGAGGCTTTTGGATGATAATCGGAGGCTAGTCGAAGATCGCATTGCTTTGCAGCAGGAGCTAGGTGCTGCCAAGGAAGAGCTGCATCGTATGAATATTGTTATTGCAGATATCCATGCAGAGAAAGAAGCACACACTAGGGAGCTTATTGAGAAGGGATTAAAGATGGAAGCTGATCTACGAGCAACTGAACCCTTGAGGAAAGAGGCTCTGCAGATGCGTACAGAAGTTCAGAAACTGGATAACTTAAGGCAGGATCTCACTGGGCAAGTTCAGAATCTCACAGAAGAATTAGCAAAGGCAAAAGCTGATAATCAGCAGATGCCAATTTTAAGGCAAGAGATTGATGCCTTACACCAGGAACTAATTCGCTTTAGGTAATTCTCAATGCATCTTTTGGAAACCCAGTTTTATCAATGTAGTGAAGTGATAGTTTGTTGTATTGGCCCTTCTAGTCGATGCAACGACTAGTTGGCACCTTGGCATTGCTTACAACTATGCAATAAAAGGATGATATTGAACATTTGGTTCAGTCTTTGTTTTGTAAACATAAAAAAGGCTGGATAGATTAGAATGGTGAATTACAGCCTGTTGTGTTTTGAAAGAAAAGTGCAATCTTGATTATTCAATGTGCTCTTTATTCGTGGCAATACGTACTAGCAGACCTCTGATTGGAAATAAAAGCTTAAGAGCTCCTCCAACACCTTCCTTTTATTTTATACTTCTTTTTTCGATTTCATATACTGCCAGTCAATCTTGTTCCAACACAAATTTAAAGCAGTGGCATGAATATAACAAAATACAAACATATTCTATATCATTTCAAATAATTAGAGATAGTAACAAACAAACAAAACTTTGAAATATTGACTATTTGATTGGTCATTAATTGAATAGCCATCCTAGTTGATGCTTAGTTGTCCTAGGAGACCACATATTGAGTATCCACCAAATAGCTAGTGATGCAGTCAGTCTGGTTCTCAATCAGTTGATGTTTTGATTATACTGGCGAAATCTTTATATTATGATCATTTCGTGTCATCTTCTTATGGAGAGATTAAAAGGCTAAAAGAATTATTTTTGCAGAAATGCTTTTGAGTATGAGAAGAAGGCAAACATTGAGTTGATGGAACAGAGGCAGGCAATGGAGAAGAACCTGGTTTCCATGGCACGTGAAGTTGAAAAGCTGCGTGTTGATCTTGCAAGTGCTGATGGTAGACTTTTAGGTGCTGGTATGTTCTATCCCATACTATATCTATGTGTTTTGAATAAGATTCTATCCTTGGATTTGTCAGATGTTACTTCATCACTTGAATCCCTTATTTTATCTGTTTGGTGGATATTACGGTACCAACCTTTAGCATTCAAGTTGGTAGTTCAACAGATAAGTTTTGCTTTTATATCAATAAAAAGGTTTTTTAGGTGAAAATGCTATTATTAGATATTGTGTGAAACTTTTTAATCTTACTATGTATGCATGGTTGTATAAGCAATTACATTTGCTTGATATTATGCGATTTTTTCTTTGGTACTCAGTTTAATATGATGGAGTTTGGTTACAAGGAAACTTGTTATGCTACCTAGATTCCTTTTATTTTCTGCTTCCATTTTCTTGCACTTTATACTTTCATCAATTAGTATATTTATAAAGGAAATGTCTAATGCATTGCTATAAAAAGAGGAAATACCTACTAAGCATTGTCTTTTGCATTTCCTGTTCATTTTTTTTTCTTTCATTTCATGCTATGGCAACTATATGATTGTGTATTGATTCCTTTTACATTTGGATTTCACTTTCATGTCTTGCTTCTAATATGTTTCTATTGGTTGCCTGGTTGCTGAAGGTGGAGCTTATGGCATCAAATATGGGAGCTCCACTGGGGGTTTCTCTGCATCTTATGGTGATGGGCTTCATTTGGTATGAATGCTAAATTGAAATTTGATATCTACATTCAGAAAAAAAAGTTCCTCCCTTTGTGAACCTCAAATTTCAACTTTGGACTAATCAACGTATTTTTAGCTTATCATATTCCTTATGCTGCTTTTCAGGGTGGTTCTGACAAGCGTCCTCTATATGGAGCGGGTTCTGGTTCATGGGCTGGACTTGAGAAGCCCCACCTTGGACGCCACTGAGATCCATGGGATTTGGCCTTAGAAACGAAAAAATGCACATTTTGTGTCCTTAATCATTATTCTCCGATATCCCAAGGCTAGAGTTGCTATATTTCGTTGACAGGGCAGCAGTAATTTTAATATGGATGTTGTTAGTGATTTTTCTTTTCTTTTCTTTTGAATTTATATAATTCAGGTTATAACATTTTACTTGGTGATTATCATAGTTCCCATGTTCTGTCAAAGGACTACTTTTGTTTGGAACATTCCATTTGGGTTTATCTTGCTATTTATCTTTCATATGTATGATCAAGTAGATACTGCATATTTTCTTCTTTTTATACAATCTGGATGTTTTGATCTTGTTTCTATGCAATCTCACATTCATGTTTAATACCATATGCTATTGTATCCTGGATAGGTTTTATCTCTAGAAGATGACACTGAAACCATGGGGTTTAATGACGATTTCTAAGTAGTTTTAGGTCATCTGCTTGCTGGAGAGAGGCGTTAACCATACTTTGTGAGTTTGAAAGTATGGAAAAATCAGTGATATGCGTATTATATATGGATGTATGTTATATATGCGTCATGTTCATGCTAAGAGCTTCATAGGAGATACACTATCAGCTTTTTACTGCCTTATGAGATCCTCTTTTAGTTGGCCAGATAGGGAGACTTGGTGCACATCTTCAGTGCAAAATGCGTTCTTGAGCTTTTGTTATTTATAGAAATTCCTAAGTCCTAACACTGTTATTGGATATGGCCTCCTATGGTCTCATGATTTGGATCATATTAATGGCACTTCAGTGGCATCTTAATCATGATGTTCTATGGGTTCTGCTGGCCTTTCAGTTAAGGGTCAATGAGGTGCCTCTTATATATTGGAGCTGCAGACAGAATGGAATTCGTTGATTTCTGGCATTTATTGACGTGATATTTGGTATTATTTCTCTTGATTGGATCTAAAAGAATAGACAGTGCAACTCATGATGGGATTTTCAAAGTGGCTCTATGCATTGGATATGGAGAACAGATTGAGAATAAATGGCTAGTTGTCTGTGTGTTTTCTGTTTCTGTTTTTATGAGGATTGACAATCAGTTGTAGGCCATAATTTGCTTTGTACCTTTTTTAATCCAAGGAGGAGATTGTTTATGGTTCTGAGTTCTAGGAGGCATTTGATTGTATTTAACCTGGACGGAAGTAAAAGCAATGATGTATGTCTATTTATAGTTGCCCCTCTCATATTGCTTCTGATTTACAGCTGTAAAACAGTGCCAACAATGCCACAGAGATTTGACAAAGATATGGCATGGATCAAGAAATCTTTTGACTTTGGCTAAACATTGCCTTGTATCTTATGCTACTTTTCTAAAAAAAACTTTGAGCTTGCATTTTGAGGCCATATTATTACTACAGGAAGACAAAAAGTTTTTTCCCTAGGTCGGGCTGTCACCCATTGAGATCAGTTGCATTTTGTTGGCTTGGAGCACATTGGAAAAATATATGATTTAGTTTTAGAGGTCTTTGTGAAGATTTATCCTTTTAGGGTTTTCGTAGTTCTTCTGCCACATGCATACTTGGAGCTTTGAGAAGGGATAGTGGCATAAGTTGGAGAAATTTATATGGAAGAATCTTCCCTTTTGCAAAATGTTAATAATATGCCGTATTGTTCAGGTATTGTGTTTCATTAAGGTTTCTAATTGCTCATTTGTTGTAGTTTTCTATACCATCCAGTGGTCGAGATTATCTGGCGAGCTAGATAATAATCAAGTTGCTCCTGTATGAGCTGAAGGGATCCTCAAGTATCTAAAAAGGTGGGCATGCTTTGTGGGTTAACTACCTCCTATCTCAACTTTGTAGTCAAGTATTCTGTTACTGCTCTGTATAATGTAACTTTAATATATATTTCCTTTTGATTTTAGATTTTGTATGTGGTATTCTTCTTATCATCCTATGATATCCTTTATATGCATGCGTATAATTGAGAATATCGGGAGAGCATCTTCAATTGAAAATGTCATTGACAACTCACATACAACTGGATTATGTGATGGTTCTTTCACTGCAGTCTTAGACTATGCACTTTTCTTTTCTAAGAAGTTTGTCAAGGATTTATAAATGTGTATGTAGGTTTTTATGAATATTAGTGCCGAATTTAGTCTTTTAGCTTGCCTTGGCCAGGCTTGTGGTTATGGCTAGTAATAATTTGTATGCATTATAAGCCCATGAAGTTGGACAATGTTGCACAAATAAATCTTGGTGTGTTGGTTTGGAGAATTCTTAAATGGATTAGCTGGAGCAGAGATTCAACACATTCATGTTTCTCAATGCTCATGACTCATGAGATGCGTCAGAGGATCACAATATTACAACCAAACTCTTGAGAAGTGATTCAATTTATAAGACACAGAAGTTACCAAAATAGCATCTGCAAGACACCTTTCATGTATAACTGGGCTTTGGTTAGATGACTCAATAACAACTAGTTCATGCCAAAATAGAATGGACAGAGACCATTTTCTCATGCCCCTTGTCTTTTAGTATCCTGTGGAGTAATTGAGTGGAATATGGTCCATGTTGTGATATGCTGGACTACTTGGAAGAAAAGCAATTGATAGATTTTTTTACAGAGTAGAATGATATTTTCTTGCTTTTGTACAGATGACTGAAGTTTCTTAGTTTATTGGGCTTTGAAGTTTGGCCTTGAATGATTTCAAAACCATGGCAAGAATGGATGTTATTTTCAATTGGTTGACTGCTTTGAGAGTAGATGTGGTCATTGGAAGCTTCTTGGGGGACTTGGGGGTCCCCTTTTTGATTGCTTGTCAAGAAAAAAAATGTTGGCAGCTAAAGATATCACGTCTCAATGATAATGTGCAATTTGTGGAATTGCTATTATAGAACACAATACCCATTTTTGAGATTTTAGCTGATGCTGGATTTCTTTTCTCCTAGAAGACAGCAGTAACTAGTGTGGGTAGCTCTGGAAATGGGCAGGATAAAAATGAACTTTGATGGATGATGTTGATACCGAAATAGGGGAACCACAAATTTGTTGTTAGAATTGAATCTTACTGCTATTGCTCTGAGAAGGGAGGGGGACCTGAAGAAAATAAAATGAATACTTTTATAAGGAGCTCTTGTTGGATGATTTAATGTTTGAGAGTGGGTGTAGTATTTATTTTCTTGATAGATGCAGGTCAGTTCTGGTCTAAGATTTTTCAGATTTCGTGCCGTATTTATTTTCTTGATTTACTTGTTTAAGGCTGGTTGTGTAGTTGTTATTTTAAGTAGTGAGTGGGGGACTGGGACTTCTTTCTCTTTCTCGGGTGGTTTTTCTTATTTTTATTTTAATAGATTTTCATTTTCTATAAACAATTGATAACCTCCTCAGTTATTCAGGCCAAGCTGGTGAAGCAATATCATGATGTGTTTGCTCTCCTTCAAGGTTTAAGACTAACATTCTCCTCAGGATGGAGGGACTGATTGTGGAAGTGGACTGTCAAGTGGTTATTGGGCAGGTGTCCTCAAGTGCAGGTGGTCCTTGGTCCACCAGTCTTGATTATGGAAGGAAAGGTATTTCGAGAAAGTCTGTACTGATTGGTCAGGTGGATTCCAAGGCCTGCAAACAGCTTAGCAAATGAGCAAAAGCAGGAGTAACAAAGATTGGTCTGGTTTGGAGGAGGGCTTATTTGTAGAACTTACGAATTCTGTATTTCAGTCATACCACTCTTGTATTTGTTCCTTTCATTCAAAACATTTTGTGATGTTGGTTTTTTTATTAACAGTTCTGATTACTATTGCTAATAGATAGAAAATACTTGATCCTTATTTTTCATTCACATTGTAAATAATTTACTTCATAGTTCTACTTATGGAACCAATTGAGATTAAATGATGAGAGGATTTTGAAAATGTTGGTACCGGAAAACATTGGTTGTTCAAGGGGATAGTCTACAGTTAAGTTGATGATCCCTTTTGCTTCGTGTATTTTTTCCACTCATTGGTTGAGAGCAGCCACCATTTGATATCATAAGTTGGAGATTGCTGTTCTTGCTGCTTATTTATATTTACTTGAGCTGACTAATTTTGCTCAATCTACTTTTTGTGTCAATGAAAAAGAAAGTCTGAAAGGGTGAATCAGATGTTATATTATATGGTGCAACAACACAGTATATACTGCCAACAGCTCAAAATATTAATGTGGCACTATGAACTGATGAAGGGCTGACCATAAAACTATATTGCTACTTAAGCCTAGTCATACATGATTTCTTGATTGCTTGTTGCTTGATAGTCAGAGTGAATCTTAATCGTTGAACAGTTTTTTACACTTGAATTGGCAGGTTTGCTTAAACCCAAGATCAAAGTATGAGCCATTTGCCATGTACTTTGGAAGTGAAGATAGGTGACCATTTGTAGTAGGGTTTGAAAAAAGTTTGTTTTATCCTTCTTTACTTGTATGCTTGCAATTGAAAATTGGAGGACAATGTTTTTCTGCCTGGCACCACACCAATAATGGATACTTAAGTTGAGCATGCTCCTCTTGGGAGTTCATTGTTGACGACCTTGTAACAGGAGAAAGAGCATCTAATGAGCAATATGAATCCTATGAAGGGTGGTAATGGTGATGGAACTGTCAGATCCCCCCATTTGGTTATGGTCCATTAGATTTTAGTGGGTTCTAGCTTAAAGGAGGGAGAAATAAAACAAATTGAGCTTAAGGATTGAGTGATGCACTTAGTAATTTACGTTAACACAAGAAATGGGCCACATGCTGGTGGAGACTTATTTTTCTGGTGTATCTTGGAAAGAACTATTGGATTTATAGTTGTGGGTAAGAAAGTGGTCCAGTGTGCACAAGTTTTAGAATTTTGATTATTATATGGCGTTTCATTTGATGCCTTGAACAGGCATGAGGGGTTTTCGGCTGGCAGTATGCTCTATTTACCTAACCACTTGTTTTGATTATTCATCCAGACAATAGTTATAACATCTGGTGGAGGGAGGAGCCTGAAAGAAATTCCCTTTATGGTCGCTTGAGGCTTCTTGGAATCAGCTGAATCAAGATGTGTTTAGGGTAGAAAAGTTCCCCCTCGTATAGAATCCTTCATGTGGTTGGTGTTCCATGATAAAATTCTAATTATTGTTTGCTTGGATAATAGGGGTATGCAGATTCAAAGTTGTTCTATTTGTAGATCTTCTGAGGAATTGTTTTATCAGTTCTTTCTTTTAGGTTGACTGTTCGAGAGAAACGTAATAAAAGATATTTTGCACATGAGCATGGGCCTTTTGTGCTTCTTTGCTTTGAATGTTTGTTGTTGCTTGATGGGCTGGGCTCTTGTTCTTAATGAGTTAAAGCATCTGAGATATAAAGATTTTATCTATAGGTGGTATTACATAGTACGTTCTAGGTGTAGAGGGTGTTAGACTGTAAAGTACTGGACTGAGGGCTATTTGCATATCTTGTTTCACATACTTTCTTTCAATAAAAATTTTCAACTGCTTATCCCAAAATTGTTTTGTACATGTCATGCAAGCATAGAGAAGGGGAGATTTGGGGGAAATTATATATTGCTAATGGATACTAATTTGGTGAGAGTTTTTCTTGTATATCCTTTTACTCTGCCTGCTATTAATGACATTTTTTGCCATTAGTGAAGTTCGAAATCATTGCTATTTATCATAAAGAGTGTTTCTTTGTCATACATATCTAATGTCTTAAACATGGTCTCTGACTCTCTGGAGTTTTTAATGTTTCCAGTTCTGATGTTTTCTTCTCTGTTCATGTTCTGCAGTCAAGTGTTGCTTCCCTTGTTTATCAAAGATGATGGAAAAGTTGCTAGGTATGCCTTTTTATTCTGCATTGGTAAAGGTAGAAATATAAATTAGTTCAGTATGAGACATATTAATGATATCATTTATTCTTACCTAGTTTTCATGCACGAGGCATATCAATGATTTGTGAAACTGTAAAATATCCTTGTGTGGTCTATCTTTTTTGAAATGTAAAAGGAAAATTATATTAAAGAAAAGAAAAAACTGATTACAACCAAATGGAAGGTGTTAAGATAACACCCCACAATCTCAGTAAAAATCCTCCCTACCACTCTAGAAAAAATTACAGTAAAAGAAACTAAAATGAAGCCAATCTTGCACGGTGACAGCAGCTACTACATTGCACTAACGGAACTCAAATTAATCTTCCACCTCTCCAATCTCTTCCAGACCTCCTTTCTCATCCCATATTTCTCTCCCTAATGCTTCAGAAGCTTTCCTCGTACTTTCTTCCATCCTCTTCTCAAAGGATTCGAGGGCTCTCCTAGGTTATTGTCAAGTTATGACTGATGTGACTTCTTTGATATTGGAGAGGGTTATGCTGCACCCAGAATTTGAAGTTCTGGTTATGCTTCACAGAGGACGAGCCTATAGGGTGTTTTGGTTGGTATGTAATTGATGTTGATTTTTGCTTGTTTTCCTTCTCCAGGCTGGTACCTTATCACCTAATCTTTATTCTTTTTTATATTTAGCAAGATTTTATTTTATTATAGTAAAGGGACAGGCTGTCCAACATGTTGTGTCAAGCATAGCAGCTCTTTTCACATAGTGGCAAAATTATCAAGTGTCCAGCACAGTTAAAACCTTTATTTCATTAAGTTTCATGAGCTCCTTCACAACTTGACCAGTATTGTCCTGTGTTTCCTGGCTCAAATCAACCAAGTCTTATCCAAATATATTGTGTCTGCTCTATATTTCCTTACCCAGTCTCCTTGATTCCATTGTTCAGACAAAGCACTGGCTTAACATAATAAATCCATCCACAGTTCAATTATAAATTAGAGCTAAGCTTAACTCGACCACATAATAGAGCCAAGCGCAACTCTATCTGTATGCACCATAAAGGCATAAACTTCACAAGACCTCATCACAAGTAGTGTGATGCTGTGGCCTATCACAATTGTAGGATCTTAGTTTTTTTCATTGTCTACTATTAATCCTGTGAAATTATGGATTTTGTTTAGCAACTGACTTAACTTTTATCCTTCTGGTTTTAAAATCAACTTCCCTGTGTAGAAAGGGTCTCGATTTGCTCACTACATTTTGCCAGATCCATTGCTGGTTACCAAATACAAATCTTCCTTCTATTTTCAGTTTTTGTACTACCATCCCATGTTTGACTGGTAGTGGTTAGCATTAATCTCTACCAATATGTTGGTTGGGCTGCTCCTCAATCTAATGTTGTTGACGGTCTTTACAGCAAATGGATCACCTTATGAAAGTAAATGTAAATCCCACACCGTAAAATGGCCCAGGTTACATAAGAACTTTTAGGGTCATTTAACAAATTTACTTAATTGACCCTATAGTTTGATGGATTTACCAAAATCTACCCTATAGTTTGTGTTTTACTAAAACACCCCTATAATTTGCATCCTATTTACTTAATCACCCAAGGATCAAAATTTTGATGCGATATGTCCCGTATCGGGCATATCGTATTGTATCTTTTGGATTCCAAAACACCTGTACCCCTCATTTTTAATGATATATATATATAAACCAATTTTTGAAAAAAAACAAAAAATATAAAAGCACAAGGTTTTTAGCAACGGTACACCTCTGTCGATACGACGCAGAGGTGTATCGATACTTTGAACCTTGAATTGACCTTCTATTAGATGGAAGTGAAAAAATACACTTTTGACCCTGATGCCCATTTTAACAAATTTAAACTAAAGAAAAAAAAATGTCGTTCCTGCTCCCAGTAAAACATTGGCAACCATGTTTATGCCCTTCACATTTTCAACTCGATTTAGGTGTTCACAAGACCATTTCCAGACGACAATAGAAGTGATTCTTAGTTGAAGGTCAATTAAATAAATCAGTTGCAGACTATAGGATGTGTTATAGTAAAAGGCAAGCTATAAGGTCAGCTTTGGTAAAGCCATGAAACTATAGCGAGTGTTTTAGTAAATTTACCCTAGATTTTATTTATGTTTTAGTCCACACTCCCACTACCAAATGTTTCCGTTCTGTTATACTCAGCCACTTGATTAATAGCATTTTTGCCCCGAACTCAATTATATATTCTCTTTTTTTTTTTCCAGAATGTTTGTATTGAAAAACATATAGTTTGACCATCTTTATCTGGTTTTTGGCAGGTCACTGGGGACGGGGACGGGGACGGGGACGGGGACGGGGACCGTCGGCGTCATGGCATATTGGCATGACATTTTGGTCAGGCCATTTGATTAGGGGGCAAAGGATTCATTCAGCCCAGTTGGGGCTTGGGGGTTGAGACCCCAGCCAATTCCCTAATCCTGCTATTTCAGGGTTCAGGGGTTGGAACCCAAAGTCTCTCCACCCCCGCCACGGCAGAGATGCTTCTGAGTTCTGACCCTTGGAGCAAATGCTGCAAAAAGGGGGTGTAATTAGTAAATAAAAAGAAATGCGTTCAACGTTAAGGTTTCAGCGGAGGATACTAGATGGTTTTTAGGAAGTAGGATCCTCGCTGGAGCAGTTCAATGCTCAAATCTACTTGCGACTGGACCGGTCGGTCGTGTGCAAATCTACTTGCGACTGTAGGTAATTGAAATCCGATGTTTGAGTATCTTTTTTGCATGCATGAATATCTGATGCTTGACTTTTTAACTTTCAATTCTTTGCGCAGAAAAGGGTCAGGGGTCCAGTCCTGTTGCGATGTTACCAATTTGCCTTCTGCTGCGACATTCATAATTCAATTGCCTAGCGGAATTTATAATTTTTAACGTCTATTAAAAGATTTGAACACTGCTGATTCCATAAGAGTTGGGCCTTCCACCGTTCCCCGACGGTTGGATAACAATCGACAACATCAAATAAAACAAAAGTTCAACAACTCCTTTTAAGGGGGAAATGTCTTCCAAGTTCCAACGATGAATGATAAATCCATGTATATGTTTGAGAGGTTCTTAAACTTTATACAAGTCCAAACTTGACATTATAACGACGCATGTAAGGTTTTACGATGAGCATGTTTGAAAGATTCTTAAACAGTCAGCAAATCTTCCGACGGTGTATCCAGTGGAATGTTTCTTTGAAATGTGAATCAAATCTGTTGCGTTCAAATTGTCAGTTGAGATCTGTGTTGAGCGATTTGCTAATAAGAAGTTAAAAGTGACTAGTGCAGATGAGCTGCAAGTCTGGGCAACCTGTGCGATTCCTTCCTATTTAGTCTGTGCCGTTGGAATTCAAGGCATTGAAAAAACATAGGGTCTCTGGTTAGAAAGCCAAAATAGATGATATCTCGTGTTTCGAAGTATGTATATGGTGTCTGAAATCGGCTAAAAAGTGCATTTCATCTTGTAGAGTTGTCTTGTTGGATCTGGGGCTACAGAGACCACAGAAAAAACTGGGTCGTGGTAATTTCACCATCCAAATTCACAGAATCAATTTCTCACTTTATGTCCTCAAACTGAGAAATTGCCAAAATCCAAAATCAGCATGATTAGATGGCTCTTACTTGTGTCTACATGGTGTTTTGGAACTGTTTTTGGTGATGATGCTTTACCTCAATCTGCAAAACAATACCATAGTCCATATGGCATAAAAATTGTGGCGTTGTTTGTATTAAAAGTTTAAAACATGCCTGCAGTGACAATGCTGATAAGGCATTTACAGCGTGTTTTCTAAATTTCCTAATGAAGAAACACCTTGAAGCCCAAGCAGCTTTTTAGTCATTTATTTGAACAGGGGCATGCAATCACAATCTCTAGACCTCAGAAGGTAAAATTTTAATGGAAACACAACCCTTGTATTTCAGTAAGGGTCTGTTGCTTTTTTGGATTTTGAGAGGGGGAAAAGTTGGTCAATGAGATTTTAATTGATTAAAATACTTTATTTTGTTCTTCAGATTTATGTGGGACGGAAGTTTTGTTTTGATATCCATCTCCCTGGTGAGAGACTTTCCCATGGGGAAAGTTGCCACCCCTTGGATGGAACAAATTCTCCCCTTTTAATAATAATTTTATTATGTTTAAATTACCTAGGAAATAAAAGAATATGAATAAATGCATTTGTCCAAATTAGTATCTTGCAGGAAACACTTAACATTTACTTGGATAAATAACTTCCCGAAAAAGTTTACCAAGGGCCTGAGAAAATAATGAAATTTCTATGGTTAGCTATAACAGTTATTTCAAAGATGCAGATTTTTTTCCTCCTTAATAAAGGGTGTTGTTCTAGAATGAACACTCAATGGCTAGCGCTGCCTAAGAAGGAAGTTGCGATTTAGAAGTGAAAGCGTGAGCAGTTTGGTAATAAGCTTAAGAAAACGTATGTGGTTTCAAAAAGGTTTTCAGGGGCTATGAAGTAGGTTGAGGTGAAGTCACGACAAATTGAAAAAAAATAAATAATTAATAGAAAGCAACAAGTGTATGAATGGAATGGTCTAATGAACCACTGATGGTTCTAGTTAGACCCAGTCAATTAACCTGGGCTCATTGAGTCATTACCAAATAAATGGGCTTGACTGCTTCAGTTTAAGGCTTTCAATCCGAATATTTTTACCTATTAGCCTGCGCCACCCATTGTCATCCACCTAGCAACCTAATTAGATTTATTATTTATCATTGTGTAAATTTTTTAAACTACCCTTAAATTGACCAAGTGTATTTTTATTATTTGAAATTTGACTAATGCTATCCTTAATGTTTTTGACAATTGACTAATACTTCCCTTACCATTAATGTTCCATTATAAATCATTCAAATATGCAGTATGTGACTGTTTTAACTTCCAAAAATACCCAACTTACCCTTATTATAACTTCCAACACCGGCATCGACACTGGCATTTTCAAGGCATACTCTTCATCATAGGTCTATGAAGGGATATTAACCTTTAAAAGCTCTACTCTCTTCTTTGTCACTACGAAACCTTGACCTTTCAAAGCCTTCCACATTTGAGGAACCGAGGGAATATCTCATTGTCCCCTCCTTTTCTTGCAACTTTTTTTCCCCTCTCTCTCGTTCCTTTACATGAGCTAAAAATAATGTCCAACAGAGTGGTAGAACGGAGGAAGTGAAAGAGAAGTGGCCATGAGCTCCGATTGCAAAGAGCTATGATCGAACCATCGCCACCCATTTGCGCTCTGTGGAATATCACACGTCTTACTCCTATCCTCCCCCCTTGGAATTTTCTCCCAATGAGGCGAGGATTCGATGCTAGAAGAGGAATCTGATTCTTCTTTGTTGACCTTTGGAGAAACCTTCCCAACTTTATTTGAATGCGACACCGACAATAGACATTGCAACCGGCGACACTAAGTGGGTTTGTGAGGGTTGCATTCAAGGCCAATCGTGACAATTCTTTCGCAAATACTTCTCTTTGAATACAGAGAGGTTTGAGAGAGCAGTTCGATAGTTGGGAAAACCCTCCAAAATTTCTCTTGGTTGGTTTTCGACAATTGTAGTGAGGAAGAAGAAAACAACAATGGAACCTGAGTGTGATTTCAATACTATGAAAACCAGAGAGAGGTAGAAGGCAGTATCTCGATATGTACTCTCTCTCTCTTTTCCCTTTTTCTTGTTTTATTTTGAAAATTTTTAAAATAATAAAGGGTAAAATAGTCTTTTATCTTTTATTAACGAATATCAAGGGACACTAACGATAACAAAAATATTAATCAATTATCAAAAACAATAAGAATAGTTTTAGTCAATTTTCAAACAATATAAATACACTTAATCAATTAACTAAACTAATTTACCCTTTTATCATTTTATGCCGTTCACTAATTCACGCACAAGGATGATGCACTAATCCCCAATCCCCTGCCATGAGAAACAGAATAAAGAGCAAAGGATTCAAGGTGTTTGATAAATTAGAACGACTCGCCACTTTTGAACCTTGTTGCGTGACAAACCACAATAAAACAAACCAACACGAGAGAGACTCAGAGAGAGAGAGAGGGGTAAAGTCAATCCATCTCAACTCACACGCTGTCCTGTTGCCATGTATCTCTCACTCTCATTTCTTAACTCATAGGCACCAATTGAAGGGTTAGGATTGATTTCTTGCCGCACCGATTTGTCAGTACTTTTCCTTGTGAATCGCATTAGTAAATTTCATCTCATCCGTCCGATTCATCCATGGCTCTAAAATTCAATATCTGACAAAAAATCGGACACTTGTCCCTGAATTGTTGTTGCTACAGAAAATGTTCGTTATCCGTTCATTTGCAAACGAATACATCACATGTTGGGTGGTACAGTGAAATATGATAGGCAAAGTACAAGTTGCAATTTCTCTCCTTGACTCTACAATATTATTTGTTTTATAAATTAGAGGAGAATTCTTACCAAAAAAAAAAAAGAGGAGAATTAATTAATAAATTGTCATCCAATTACAAAAATTCTACAAAAAGGAGAAAAAAATTGATATTGCCTGTAGTGTTCTCTCCGCTCCGGTTAATTAAAATTTTTCGGCTGGTGCTAGCTTAACGATGAAGAAGTGCGCAGATTAAGAGAATCTGCTTTCAGGAAGTGGGCGTAGGTTAAGACTGGAGAGAGAGAGAGAGAGAGGGAACAGTTGATGCGACGGTGATCCATGTCCAGGATGAAGCATCTACTGCGCAAACTCCACATCGGAGGGAGCGTCAATGAACACCACAGGCTGGGCGGAAACCGTGCCAATAGTAGTTCGTCTCCGCCACCGTCGACGTCGTCTTCCACGCCTCATTCGTCGTCCACAGGGTCCACAGTTGCAAGGAATAGAGTTGGCGATGCAACCGAGAGGACTACCGGCGTTGTTTCTGCCGCTGCGTCTGCTGAAAGTTCTGTTGATTTCAATTTCTTCGAAGAGGAGTTTCAGGTACAGCTCGCTTTGGCGATCAGTGCGTCGGATCATAGTTCGCGCGAAGACCAGGAGTCGGCTCAGATCAAGGCCGCGAAGCGGATGAGTCTGGGCTGTTCTCCTGTTGCTGCTGCTGATGAAACCCTTGTTGAGTTTCTCTCGCTCCACTATTGGGTACGTATTGCTCTCCTGCTTTGTGATTTTAGTGATTCGAAGTCAGTTTGTAGAGGAATTAGGGGTGAATTAACTGGTATATGAATTTTGGATCTCGATGATTCGCTTATTTGAGTTTCTGATTTTGCATATTGAGCTGGCTTTAGTGTGTGTTTCATGTTTTAATTGAAATTCTAGCTTGATTATTTGTTTTGGCTTGTCTGAAATGTTGATTTGGGCATGATTTCCAATTCGCTATTGATGGATGTTTTGCCGTGCAAAAATGGAGAGATTTCGGGGATACTTTGCTAATTTTGCTAAGATATCTGAAAAATCTAGAGAAATTAGGAAATATTACTAAAAACGCGTAATTTGTTAACGAAACTTTCGGGATTGTTTATATATATATAACGTTAACTCATTACTATGATGGAAAGGGGTTATTAGAAAGGATTTTGACACGGCATTTATGTCTTCAATTCCTATTTCCGAAGAAGGGGCTGATGACCTAAGTAGGCCTTAGGTCTATTAATCTTGTCCATAGACAGCAATTTCAGAAGATATTGCCAGTATTCACTGGTCATTTTCATTTTCGAGAAAGGGTAAGAATTCATTAATGATCATAGACGGCAAAGCTGATGAGGGAGAGGTTTCCTCAGCAGCCAATTACATAGGAAAATATTTCAATAGACAAAGAGGATTTGACGTTGAAATCATACTTCCATGAAATATTTCTCCAATGATCAGCGAAATTCCTAAAATGAAAACCCCGGAATAGATGACTAATAGAAGCGCACTTGATCAAAATCCTTTCTAAAGTGGCACACACTTTCTTTGAAGGAGAAGATTGGTCTTCAAACAGGTGTCGTTCCTTTCTTTCCAAATGCACCAGCAAACCACTGATAGTATAATATTTCACAGCAACTTGCCCCTCTTAGAGAAAGCCTGCAAACGCCAAGAAGAAAGAAGAGAACCAATATCTGGAGGAAGTACCCAGCTCACATCAAACAACCTCAAGACATGGGACCACATGCTATAGGAGAAATTGCAGTGGACCAGAAGGTGCTGAAACATCTCCTCGTCCATCCCACATAAATAACAACAGTTGATAAGGAACATGCCTTTCCTCCTCGGTACATCAATAGTAGGGATTTTACCCTTTGATAGCAATCCATAAGAAAAATAGAACCTTTGAAGGCACTTTGAGCTTCCACATCCAAACCCAGGAAGGTTCCTCCTCCAACCTAAGCAGAAGGTTTGACATTGAATTCACTGTAAACAAATCAGATTTATTTTTTTTTCATTGTACCACCAAATCTTTTCACCAACCAAAGGCTCTGGTTTCACTTGCTCCAGGGTGTGCAAAAATGCCGCTAAAGGATCCAGGTCCTAATCATTCACATCCCTTCTAAGCCGCGGGGTCCAGACTACTTGATTCCCAATAACCTCAAAACAATCACAGATTTGGGTCTCTTTGTCTTGGGCTAAGGCATAGATGGCTGGAAATTCAAAACAAAGAGGGCTATTACCACCGGTCCTTCCAAAACAAAATTCTTTCACCTGAGCCTGGCTTAAACGGAGCAGTTGGGTTTGGGGTTAAAAACTAAAGGCTGATGAACAGCATACATCTATTGATAACAAAAAGAGAACAATGTGCTTCTTAGGAAGTGGTTGTGTTAACTTAATAGAGAGGAGGTGACTATTTGGAGAAGGATGATACTGATGATTAGTCAGAATGATGTATTTATTGACTGTATTGGGGATCCAAAAGTAGTGTCCTTGCATGTTATCTGGTTGATTTGGAATATATTGTGAATTTCATCATTGTTTCGTGTTTTTTTTTTATTGTAGCCTTTTATCTTTTTGTTTGTTTTGGAGGGCATTGGGGAGATAGGGGGAAGTTCGGTTTTGAGAAGATTTATGACTTGGTTTTGGCAAGGGGTCATTGCTTGGTGTAATGGGAAAATCTCAGTGTGGCAAGCATGATAGTACAGGTTGGAGTTTGAGAGCAGCCACTTTGTGCAAAAGTGTCAAAGGTTAATTCTGTATCCCATCTTACCCCTCCCAATCTTTTCTCTGAAGGAAAGTTGAAGATTTTGTTAATCATCTTCAGCTTTCAGAAGATGTTCCCTTTTAAATTAATAGGGAGGATGATATGGGGTGGAAGAATGACCCTGAGGCTGTCTTTTTTGTAAGGTTCTTTCTCAGGTCCCTTATTTTCAAGAGACATGGTGGATCATCAACAACTGAGGGAGATACTGTTCTGCTGGGGAGGGGGAGGCTTTTGTTTGCTTCATATCTTGTAATTTTCTCTTAAAAGTGTACCATCATAAAAGCCGGGTTTTCTAATTGAGAAATCCTTGCTTTATGCATTAGACTCAAGAGAATGCAATTGCAAATCAGCCATTCATCATTTGGGAGAGATGTGGATTTTTTTTTTTTTTTATTGAGATTGGATTTCAGAGTGTGGTTCTGTTGCTGTTTTTTAACATACTAAGGAATATCTTGTTATTGATGAAAAATGGTCTTCACAACCTTGAAATGCTATTGTGTTCTATGTTGTAATGGTATTCAATTTTATTCCTGTCAATAAAGGTGACAGTAGACTTGAGGTATGCTTTGAAAGTTGAAGGGAACTTTGAAGTTTTGATTGGGTGGATGAGAGAAGAAAATTCCCAAACCTAACTGATAAAATGCCTTGTTGTAATATTTATAAAAAAAGCTTTGCTGTAATGATCTACCTTACATTTCTATGATCTTTGGGGCCCAGCTTCCCCATGTTCTATTAGCTTTTCCCTTGTACAAAAAAGGGAAAAAAAAAGAATGAAAGAAGTGAGGTCTTTGGTTTCCACCATGAACATCTTGTCTAGATAGATAGGAAGGTCTGCTAACTCTAGCGGATTCACTTGTTAGAGAAGAGTTATATTGGGGAACTACCTCAGTTGGTTCTCCTCATCCAATAGCAATTTCGTAATTTTTTTGGTATTTTGGGTTTTAATATTTTTGGATTCTTTTCAAATTCATTTGCTAGATTGGTGTCTTAGGAATAGGATTTTTGTCTTTTAGAAATTTATTGTTGTTAGTAAAAATCAAAATTTCTTTTTATTGCAACTTTCAGACTTATATTTATAGTAAATTTGTGATTTACTATTTTTTGTAGTTCCCAATATCTTTATAATGAATTGATTTTAATAGGACTAGTATTGGGTTATTGAAGTTACTTTAAGAGTTAAAGTCCTTACTTGATTATCCTTATGGGTTACCTATTGGGTTGCTTTTCAAAATTAGTTAGAATTTGTTTTGGGTTTCCCAGTTGAAATTAGAATCTGTAAAGGGAGATCCAAGCCCTTATTATTGGTCTATTAAGAAACCATTGTATTTTGAATTTCAGAGTTGGATTAATGGAAAGAGTTTATTTCAAAGTTGCCTCCAGGTGATAGAGATTTTACTCTTCTTTCTCTTTTCTTTTAAACTCCATTATTTCTTCTCTATTTCAGATCTTCTTCTCATAATTCAGATCCTTGGGCTATATTTGGTTAAAATTCTGTTTCAAAGTATCATTATTTGAACAACTTTTCTTTGAAGCTAAAATTTTTATCTCCAAAGAATCAATTCTTAGAATGAGTTTTCCAGCGATTTTCATATATCCAAACTTAAAAATAATTGTTAGAGTTGGAGTTCATTAAAGTTAGTTCTCTAAAAGCATGTCAAATGCATCCTTGGTTTCTTTCTCCTTCCCACCATGTTCAATTCAGGTGTTTGTCAGAGTAGGTGCCTTATTTCATCTGCTGTATTTCTTGTATCTTATCTTTCCAATATCAATAAAGATGCTTGATTGGTTACTGATAAAAAAAGTTATCTGACTTATCATTATCTAAAACCCTTAGCTTCATCTTCTTTATCTGTTTGTTCCCTGCCTTTTTTTTTGTCATTGTTATCCCCCTTTTCTTATGAAGGGTGAAGTCATTATCAGCTTCTATTTCAGGTAAGTAATGTGGAAATCACTTTTTTTTTTGCAGAACTACAATGTTCTGAATTATGACGAAAAAGTGATGGATGGATTTTATGATGTCTATGGTATCTCTTCAAATTCAAACTTACATGGAAAAATGCCATTGCTGGTGGATCTTCAAGCAACATCCATTTCGGGCAATGTTGATTATGAAGTGATTCTGGTAAACCGTACTACTGATCCTTCACTGCAACAACTCGAGAGAAGAGCAGCTTCTATAGCCTTAGAATGTCAAGCTATAGAGCTTGGTCCAATTCTAAGTGGTCTGGTCCAGAAGATTGCAGATCTTGTTGTTGATAAAATGGGAGGTCCAGTCAGTGATGCTGACGAAATGTTAAGAAGGTGGACAGCCCGGAGTTACGAATTACGGAACTCACTGAACACAATCATTCTTCCCCTTGGATGCCTTGATGTTGGACTTTCCCGTCACAGGGCTTTGCTATTTAAGGTGAGACTCTACTTTCTTTTTTTCTTTACATCTCTTCTTAGATTAATTCATAAAAATAAAATTTGGATTTTACATCATTATGCGCAACAAAATCTACTGGGTTCTCTGCTATAGTCATGTTATATCATTGAGTTACTTCAGCTTGCTTTAAGTCCTTAATGAATAGCAAAATGTGATCTACACAGTTAGGTTGATACTTCTATGCCAAAACCAAATTTATGATTGCTTTGATTCCTTGCTGACATTGTTGTGTTCATGATTGGATTCACTAAATTAACTTTGGTGGAATTTTGTAGCTGCAATTTGATTGATTTGCTCATCTTTAGAGTAATGTTATGCTCCCTACAACTTCTCAGTGTTTAAACATGTTCTCTCTGACCTTTTTCCTTTGGTGGTTGTAGCTACTTAGTAGAAATATTAACTTGGGTTGTCTATGTGAATGGTATTCCCAAGTTCATACCAAAAGAGGCAAATCAATCTGGACCGTTGTTCTATTTCTCTTCATGATGTAGTTAGGTATTGGAGGTCTATATTTATTGCCTATACAATTTCCTAATATGTTATTGGTCTTTTTTATCAGTTACAGTTAAATTTATTCTTTAATTATAAAAATCTGAATGAATATGTAAATGGTCTTATTTGGGAGGTTTCCAGTAAGTGTCTTTCCCTCTTTGTCTGGTTGGAGAATTCTCATATGTGACAGTGAAAATATGTTGATGGTATTGGACTGAAAGATGTCATTAAAGAGTAGTTAACGTGACTCAAAAATCCTCATTTCATATCAACAGTTTATTACCAGCCTCAGAAGAAAGGGTTCAATTCAGGTGAGTTGGACCGTCCAATATCTAGAGTACTGAACGGTGAACATACAACGCAATCCAGTTATTTATCCATCCCTCTGTTCAACGTGAAATCAGTAGAATGTAATTTATTTAGTCCTAACTCAACCTGAGTTGGCCCTGCTTGACTAGGGTGGTCCTAGGATAGGTTATTTAGCTTGGAGTAGTTTAATTTCAGTTGAATCTGGCCAAGTATCATACTTATCAAAAGGGAAAGGAAAAAGAAAGAAAGAATCACCCTTTGTTTGTAGATGCTTATCAGGATATAGGGCCATGGGTTTTTTGATTGTTGCAGAGGCATGGTTTCAAGTCTTAAGCATTGAGGCATGAAGCATGCACTGACTGTGCCAGATGAGGCAATGCATCTCATGTCTCAAAGCATGTGGCTATGAAAGGTGTAAACCTCAAAAAAATGATTTTTTTTTTTTTTGACTGAAAATTTAGAAGTTAAACACAGAAGGTTGTTTGGGCCATTATAGACCAAATAACACCAAATGACTATAAAAGATGTGTCTCTAGTGTCTAAATGCTCATTTTATTTGCACTATTGTTTCTACCAAACTATACATATTTTGTTTAATGTATCTGCTTTTTTCTAAGTTTGTATATACTGTTTTTTTTTTCAGTTTCTAATTTGTAAATGACTATGCTTCATAACTGTACGCAATTTATTCACTCCAACCAACCTAAGTTGAACCCTTACACATAGAGTTTTAGCCATTTATGAGTTTTGACTATGCTTTGTATAAATGGCAAATTTGTGCAACTGAGAATTACTAGTTAATTACTCAGGTGGGAGACATGGGCTCAACTGAGAATGTATAAATGACTACACTTCATGACTGTGCCCAATGTGTCTTTAGCCTCAGTGGTAAGGGTTCAACTCAGGTGGATTGTAGTTATTTATCTTTTCTGTACTGGACACAGTCATATAGACACAATGAATATGCTTCATTCTTTTTGGTCTGAACCTGGGCAAAGTCATTCATTTATCCTTTCTGCAAGTGTAGTCATCCAAGAAAAACTTACTTATGGATAAAGCACAGTGAGTGTTTGAGTTCAGTTAAATTGCCTCTTCTTTTCTTAGTGGGAGACATTGAAATTCACTTAATTTAACGTGCTTTCTGATTGTTTTACATGGTTATGATTATTTTAGTAATATTTCAATAAAAGCAGTAATACTTCTACTTCTTGTGATAGGTACTAGCTGATCGGGTGAATCTTCCATGTCGGCTGGTGAAAGGGAGCTACTATACGGGTACTGATGAGGGAGCTGTGAACCTGATCAAAATTGATTGTGAAAGGTGATGCTTCATCCTGTCACCAACTAATGATACCAAGTGGTCATTATAATCATTTACCTTAACCCACCTATAGGCTCAGCAGCATGAAACCTGTCCTCCATTTTGGTACTGGTGTGATGTTTCTTAGAACCAAGTATAGGGAGCTATATTTTGTGATGTTGGTATAAGTGGCTTATCATTGGTTATTTGTGTACTTGTTTTTTCCTTGTCTCCTCTTGTTTAGTTGCTATTGTTCCTGATATACTATTCTGAGGTTGCAAATGTACTCTGCTGATGAATAAGGCCAAGGTTTGAATAAAAATTCACAGACCTGAGGTTGCAAATGTACACTGCAGTGTAATTAGCAGCTTTCTTAGAGAGACATGATCCTTAAGTTATTTTGTGAAGGCAGTCTTCCAAATAGAATATGGGCCATTACTTGGTGAAATGGTGTTATGGACGCCTTCCTCGGGAAGACGTACCATCGCCGCCGGCAGCAACAGGCCCCGGGCCCACCGCTAGCAGCAGCAAGGATTCAGTGATGCTCATCCTACCCAGTTCGGCAACAGCAGCCTTATCTAGATTAGATTAGCTCATTTTGCTTGTTCTTATCT